TTCTTCCGTCTTTCCATCTCCAGGATATCAGCCAATACTCTTAGTAAATTGTCATGCCTCCATCGGTATCTTCTTTGCTGAAGTTCTTGCTTGCATCCAGACGGTATGTAGGACATTGACCATTTCTGGTTGCATAGTCTGCAGTTCGGGTCCTCTGTCATTACCCACTGGTACAGATTGACGGGTGATGGAAGAGTGTCATATACTGATCTCAGCATAAATGAGATCCTAAAGGGTTCCGTCCTCCACAATTCCGTCCATGTAAGCTTTCTCTCTGGTAGGTTCCATTTGGTTCGTTCACCCTGCTTTCATCAGATTCATGCTTCCTTGTCTCCTCTACTACTCTCCGTACCACCTTCTGAACCACCTGTCATTGCCCCTGAGTGTTTGCCCTTTCCCACTGATGGAAGTGTGAACAGCCAACACCTGACCTTCCGACACATGTGTTCCCAATTATGTCCTCCAGCTCAAGCACACTTTCCGCTTCCTCTACAGCAGTTGATGCATACCACTTCTGTGCCGTTCTTGTCTGTATTCCTGCCTCACTGAGCTTTGGAGTCCCAGAGCGTCATCACCAGCCTGCACTTTGACACTTTAAACTCCTCGACGACTCTCATTAGTGGCAGTTGTAGTTTAGTAGATAGTCCTTACAGACCTATATCTGTGAAGCTTGGCAGGACTCTTACTCATTTTCTCAGGTACCTGTTCACCTTCTCTAAAGGCTCCATTCTAGTCGTTAAGATCTCATACAGCAACAATTTCGGTAGCATGCCATGCTGGTACATCCATGCCTTATACTTTTCTGGAAATCCCGACTTGTTTATCCTATCCATCCACAGGTGCACCTGGCCCTGGGTGTTCTTCTGGTTCTGACCATCACCCAGTAAGTCATCAAACCAATTCCCATGGCATTTGATGGGTTTGGCAATGCTTGAAGGGATCCCCTCTCCCTGGACCTTTAGTGTGAACTGTTAGCTGATTCTTTCCCACCTCACAATCATGCAACAAGATTTCCAAGTTTTAAAATGCATCCTTGCCCATTGGACCACCGCTTTCAGCACAGTCAGCACCCATCTGGCTTGTACATTCATTGTGGTTGTGATGGTATGGTCATCCGTGACCCCTCAATGGGCTGGTTGGTAGATGTCAGACTCCATTCTTGGTCCTCTGGTTTCCTTCTCTGCAGCCTTCATTGTAAGGTTCATTCCCATGATGATGAGAAATGGTGATATGGTGCATCAGAACTACGAATCTCATCTGCATCCCTCCGAAATTGTCCATTATCATGTTCCTTATCAGTCTTGGGACATGATAATGCTCTGAGGCTACCTCATTCAAGTTGTGTGGGACTGACCCATAGAGGTTGGCAAGATCCAACCAGACTACCGTCAGGTTACCTCTGCCATTCTTGGCTTCCCTGACCAGTTGACTAATTGCACTTGTATGCTCTATGCATCCCAAGAACCCGGGAATACCTCCCTTCTCGACTGAAATGTCAACATAGCTGTTCTCCACCGTGTAGGATGTCGTTCGCTTAGCGAGGACAAAAAAGATCTTTCCCTCAACCATCAGCAATGAGATGGTCCTAAATTCATTACCATCAATCCAAAAAACAACAGAATGCAACTTCAAATTATGAAGTGATGTGCATCAAAGTTTAAATCAGAACAGAGACGGAAAAAGAAAAAAGGAAAACCAATGGATGCAGCTACAGGCTGCTCTATTTCAATATCAACATCTTTAAGATTCCATCTGTAAATCATTTTATAAATCAACAAAAAAATCCATTCAGAATAAAGATTTTTCCAAAGAATACCAAGATTGATATAACATGATAATAATAAATTTTGACAACCATATAATCAAATTTTCTGATCTTCTCTGCATGTCGTTTTATTCTATATAACTGATGTATGATGAAATAGATCAACACCTCCAGGTATATATAGCACATTAAGGTGTTTCCATTTATGTATAACATTTGATTCTACCATATGTGCATGTTAAACATTTTTAAAATTTAAGTCACTTTGACCCATTTTGGCCCCATCCATCAGCCCCTGGGGGTCAGCCAGAATCAAAATTGGCATACCATCAGGCTGTCATCCTTCACTCACAATTCTAACCAAGTTTGAAATATTTCCAATGGAAATTAAACAAATTATGCTCAAAATCTAGTTTTATATAAATTACAAACCCTCTCCCCACAGGGATAAGCCAGACACTGGGGCCATGAAATTCACAATTTTTGTAAAGCACCTTAAGATGCTTCAATTCATGAAGAGTATTTGATCCTATCCTATCTGGGGCTTGAGAAGATTTTTAAAATATAAGTCAAATTTGACCCCTTTTGTCTCAGGTGACCTAAAAATGCTCAAGAATGGTGAAGAGTAGGGCCAAGACAGATCACACAAATTTGACACATGAAAATAATATCCCAAATACATTGTAATTGCTGGCTGCTGTGTGTAATATTTGGATATTAAATATAGGTCTTGAGATAACAAATCAACTCTAATTTGTAAACTCTCCTAATACTTTAATTACTGGGGTAGGTCCTCTAGTATCCAATAATCTAGGACACGTAATCAGCAGTCAGCTGTAGCATGTAACCACAAACAAGAATTTTTGTGTCACTTACCTGCCAAATCCAAAATGGCTGCCTGGAAGCAACTTTCTTACTTCTGATCAGTCCCAAAATCAAAGGAGCACAAGCAGAAACCAAAGGGAAGATATGTATGAAATTTGAGAGATATCCATTCAGCACTTCTTAAGAAATAGCAATAACAATCTTTATTAGGCAAAATTCAAGATGACTGCCAGCTGGCCATTTTGTTTTTCTGATCAGTCCCAAACTCAAACAGGCACAACAAGGGACCTAAAGGAACCTATACAAGAATTTTGAGAAAGATCTGCAGAGAAGTTCTAAAGAAATAGTGATAACAAACTTTCAAAATAAAAATCCAAGATGGCTACATGACAGCCATTTTGTTTTTTTCTATCAGACCCAAATCAAATGGGCACAACTAGGGACCAAGGGGAACCTACATATGAAATTTAAGAACGATCCATCCAGTACTTCTCAAGAAATTAGCAATAACAAACTATCAAAGTCAAAATCCAAAATGGCTGCCTTTTGGGCATTTTGTTTTTCTGATCAGTACCAAAATTGCATGGGCACAACTAGAGACCAATGGGAACATACATATGAAATTTGAGAAAGATCCATCACTGACTTTTCAAGACATAGCAATAACAAACTTCATTAGAAAAAAAACAAAATGGCTGCCTGTTGGCCATTTTGTTTTTTTTTATCAGACCCAAAATCAAATTGGCATAACTAGGGTCCAAGGGGAGCTTACATATGCAATTTGAGAACAATCCATCAGGCACTTTTCAAGAAATAACAATTACAAACTTTCAAAGGTAAAATAAAAGATGTAAGCCATATTTTTTTTCAGACCCAAAATCAAATGGGCACAAAGCCCTTGTGTGTCTCACATGTTCAAACACATTTCCTACTAAAGCGAGCCTCATCAGACTGTCTTCTACATTTTCATAAAAGCATAGAGTTAGGTTATATATTTCTTTTTGAAGTCCATGATAAAAACTACCATTTCCTTACCAGTAAGCTAACAACACATGTATAAATCATTTTACAACACTTTATTCACAGTGTGGTAATTCGACAATGGAATTTGATAACAACCTAACATACATTTCATTTATATACCATGAATGGTCTTACTGTATTCATTCTCAACAGTCAAGCTTCCTTATTCAAACAAAGTTCAACAGGACCACTTTCATTTATCTGGTCTCAACGTTTTAATTTTGCTAAACCAGATAAACCAAAGCAGTCTTGTCCTTCCTCACACTCAACTAAAGGATAACAGTTATACTCACTCATTAAATTCTGACATTCACATACCTTACTCATATAAATCCAACCACATTATGTATCAATATTGCAACAGTTGAATACAATAAAATATGAAAATAAACAAATTTATTTGAAAGAAAAATCTGGGCTTCTTACTCAAGATCAAGACTACCGAATGAAAATGTATCAATCAACATACTGTATCAGATTACAACTGCCTTCATTACAGAAGGTATTCTCTGGAAAATTTTGAAAGAGTTAACATGATGGAAAATTGAAGCATAAAAGAGAAAAAATTCATTAAAACCTATTTTTTTTTTTTTTTTTTTTTTAAAAAGCCATCTAAAATCAAATGTTACACACACATTTGATTCCTGTAGTGTTATTTGATATTATCATATTTTGTTGTATATTGAAACTACTGTAATAATTAATTTAAGTTGTAAAATTCAGTCGCATTAATTAAATAGTTTTATAATTGAATACTTAACATTTTATATATCATGATTATTTCATCTGACATTTGTAACGTATGATATGCTACACATACCATGTTAAATTGGTATATTACAGCAGAAATCTGTTCCTTAGAGACTGAGAAGATTTTATATATATATATATCACATACCATATTAAATTGGTATATTACAGCAGAAATCTGTTCCTTAGTGACTGAGAAGATTTAATATATATATATGTATATCAAGAATCAATCTACAGCATATTAAATTGGTATATTACAGATTTTATATATATATATATATATATATATCAAGAATCAATCTACAGCATATTAAATTGGTATATTACAGCAGAAATCTGTTCCTTCTGATTTAATATATATATATATCAAGCTATTTAAATGGTATATTACAGCAGAAATATTGAGAAGATTTAATATATATATATATCAAGAATCAATCTACAGCATATTAAATTGGTATATTACTGCAGAAATCTGTTTTGTACTGTATATATATATATATATATATATCAAGAATCAATCTACAGCATATTAAATTGGTATATTACAGCAGAAATCTGTTCCTTAATCAAATCACACAGCATATTAAATTGGTATATTACAGCAAAATCAGTGACAACACACTACAGCATATTAAATTGGTATATTACAGCAGAAATCTGTTCCTTAGTGACTGAGAAGATTTAATATATATATATATATATCAAGAATCAATCTACAGCATATTAAATTGGTATATTACAGCAGAAATCTGTTCCTTAGAGACTGAGAAGATTTAATATATATATATATCAAGAATCAATCTACAGCATTTTCATTCATTCATGCTATTTTGTTTTTGACCCGTTTTGTAGTATGGTCAGACAATCAAATCACACAGTAAGATGAACAGTGACAACACACTATTTCCGCAGAATCTGGTTGAGTCGAGCAGCTGAGGGGAAAACACCTGCTGAAATAAAGAAAGTAAAATTATCAAAGGAAAGAAATAGACATTACATTGATTTAGTACTTTGTACATTTATTGTGTACAGTGTGTTGTTATTTCAGTGAATCGCAATACATGATGAAACAGCATGCTGATGTACCACACAAGATATCTTAGTTAAGATACCTTACCTAATTACACACCAATTAAGATGAGATCACATATTATCTTAATCTGAGCATTACATCTTAATGTGTTAATAGGATTTCAAAATTATATGACTTTCATTTTTTTTTTTTTTTGATTCTCAAAGTAATATATGGAATAGCACTTAGGAATATGCTGTATTATCATTCCTGGATTCTGGAAAGTGTGGATTCGTGACACTATAATTCAGGTATTAGACAACAGAGTAATTACTTACGACGATTGTAACTGATGGGAGCGTCGAAGTATGAAAGGGGTGCCATAGAAGAGCCAGGCTTGTTAGCTTGGGAACCTGTTACAAGTGAATTAAGAATTACTTAAAAACTATTGTCAAACTACAAGCAATGCTTAAGTGTGAAATAAAACTACATATATCATCTCTTTTGTAAATATTGATAAACAGAAAAGAAAAAAATATGTCCCGATCATACAACTCTGGAGTTTATCCATTAAGCCAGGACTGAAAATGCCCATGATGAAAAAAAATATTTGAAAAGGCAAACTGCTGATGTATGTCAAAGTACACAAAATGAATATGCTTCATGTGAAGAATATAAAGAATGAACATTATACACGAAATTGTATTTATATAATGTTAAGTAACTTGGAATATCAGTATAAATAATTACGGGGGATAATTCTAAGCAAAGGTGAGATTTGTTTAAGTACATGTAGTGTAGTAAGGACAATTCTAAGCACAGTTGAGATTTGTATTCAGTAGTGTAGGAAGGACAATTCTAAGCACAATTGAGATTTGTATTCAGTAGTGTAGGAAGGACAATTCTAAGCACAATTGAGATTTGTTTATGTTGTCTGTGGAGGATAATTCTAAGCAAAGGTGAGATTTGTATAAGTAGTGTAGGGGGATAATTCTAAGCAAAGTTGAGGTTTGAATAAGTAGTGAAGGGGGGATAATTCTAAGCACAGTTGAGGTTTGAATAAGTAGTGAAGGGGGGATAATTCTAAGCACAGTTGAGGTAAAATATTGAAACTGATCCCCTTTGTGAGTGTGAATAGCAACTGTGATGGCAGTAAAATATTGAAAGATACATTCTATGACAGAACTCAGAAAAGTTACCTTTTGACATATTTCAAAGGAAAAATCTGAAGGACAGTGGCAGCTATTTTGTTGCACCATTTTCACAACATACTGATGTTTTCCATATTATGACATCACAATCAATTTCTGATGATGGTGGGCATAAAATATTTCATGAGCTTGATAACAGGCAGATTATGTGAAAAAGTAAGATTCTAAATAAAAACACTCTTAACAATGTGTGTTACATACTTGATGTGTGGGCTCCTGGTCCAGCCAAGGAATCTAATTGTCTGGTCATGGGTCCTGAGGGTCGGTCTAAGGAGTTGAACAGAATGGGCTGGGAGCTCACAGTAGGCTTCTTAAACCGATCATCATCATTATTACCTATAAAGTAACAAGTCAAAGCAATGTGTACCTCTGACATATTCAGACCATATCACTGAGGCTTTGTACAAGTTCAGAAGACCTGTTCCCCCTTACCCTGAGCTATAGATAAACTATATATAAGATAAGATAATACTTGTATCTCAAACTGCACTTTTGAGAGTTGAATCTGCTAGCTTAAAAATGCCGAAGAAAACATTTTAGTAAAATATCGTCATGGACAGAAAGCTAACAAATGAAAAAAAAACAAAACAAAAAAACATATAAGTTAGCTGACCACAACTATATTATGGATTGTCATAACATATCTTTGATTCATTTTGTGGTTTAAAGGCTCTGATGCCTTTCAATAACTGTGGTACTGACCTCTATTCTCTGGAATGTCAAGGCCAGGAATACTGGACTCTGCACTGGCACTTCTGGTGTTGTATGTGTACTGTGGGCCGGGGGTCTGTTCAATTTCCTCTGTCTTTTTCACATAGCCAATCACTGCAAAAGCAGCAAAAGGTTGGATCACAGTTGATGAGTCCATACCAAGGATTTGTCTTGCCTTATCCTCTACACCAATTTAGCAGATGAAAATTTTCTTGATGGAAATAATTTCTTATATAGAGAAATGCCTCATTGAATTTAGGATAAAATTCTATATACTTTATCTTGATCTTCATACCTAACACACAACCAAAGTTAATTAAAAGACAAAATTTAAACTTTACAAGCTTTACCATTGAGAAATGACTCATAAGTGTCTTCCATTCCTGTCTGTGTTTTCTTTCCTTGTTCCCTGGCAGAAATGATGTCACTTTTTGGCTCTGCTACATAACTATTCCGACCAACTGCAATCACATCAAGAAAGATATCTGTTATTCAAAGAATAACCAGAATGTCCAGGAGTCTTAACATTGAGTCACGAGACTACCAGTGAATAAATATCTCAGGATACGCAGAAATTGAGATTTGGGTTGTAAGAAACAGAAAATGTGTTCAGTTAGAAATAATTTTAACAACAGAATCAGACAAGTTGTGAAGTAATAGCAAATAATGCAATAATCACAATATATATCTTAATTCATTACACTATGATTGAACCAAGATATACAGAGTTTACCCTTTTTTTATTTTAGATATTATGCCTTCACACAGTGATTCATCCCAAATATTCTACATTCACAATACTGTAATTTACCCGAGATATCCTTTGTCCACCCTGGGATTTATCAAAGATATCACATGTTCTCCCTGTGACTTACCTAGGATATCATGGGTTCTCCCTGTGACTTACCTAGGATATCATGGGTTCTCCCTGTGACTTACCTAGGATATCATGGGTTCTCCCTGTGACTTACCTAGGATATCATGGGTTCTCCCTGTGACTTATCTAAGATATCATGTGTTCTCCCTGTGACTTATCTAGGATATCATGTGTTCTCCCTGTGACTTATCTAGGATATCATGTGTTCTCCCTGTGACTTATCTAGGATATCATGTGTTCTCCCTGTGACTTATCTAGGATATAATGGGTTCTCCCTGTGACTTATCTAGGATATCATGTGTTCTCCCTGTGACTTATCTAGGATATCATGTGTTCTCCCTGTGACTTATCTAGGATATAATGGGTTCTCCCTGTGACTTACCTAGGATATCATGGGTTCTCCCTGTGACTTACCTAGGATATCATGGGTTCTCCCTGTGACTTATCTAAGATATCATGTGTTCTCCCTGTGACTTATCTAGGATATCATGTGTTCTCCCTGTGACTTATCTAGGATATCATGTGTTCTCCCTGTGACTTATCTAGGATATCATGTGTTCTCCCTGTGACTTATCTAGGATATAATGGGTTCTCCCTGTGACTTATCTAGGATATCATGTGTTCTCCCTGTGACTTATCTAGGATATCATGTGTTCTCCCTGTGACTTATCTAGGATATAATGGGTTCTCCCTGTGACTTATCTAGGATATCATGTGTTCTCCCTGTGACTTATCTAGGATATCATGTGTTCTCCATGTGACTTATCTAGGATATCATGTGTTCTCCCTGTGACTTATCTAGGATATCCTGTGTTCACCATGTCATTTTGCATGGATATCTTGTTTCACACTGTAATATATCTTAAGATATTTTGATTGCAAAATGTTATTATCTACAATATGCTGTGTTATAATCATCAATAACTCATATCCTGACGGTAATGAATCTTACATGACATTTCCTGTGACGTTGATCCTTGCTGACCTTGGATTGGTTGATGTAAAATTTGACTTGTCTGACCTTGCTGTAATTGACCTTCGTTATCTTTAACCTTGTTGAGACTATCCTTGAGACCAGAAATAAGATTGTCACCCAATCCTGGCAGCCATTCTTGTAGCTTTTGTACTATGTGACTAGGAATGGCACCTAAAAATGTAAAAATAATTGATCTTATATTCATAAACTACAATACATTACAATGTTTTTATAGTTAATTCATAGCAAAATGAAACACAAAGGTAATACACATGCTACTCTTGTGTATTTTACAAGTCAATGAAATACATGACTCACAACACACTGAAATACAACTTCAATAAAATTCACAATATGTTTAAACAAATCACATGTACTGTTACTATATTTCATCACCAATAAGCTTCCTCCATAATTTTGTAAAAGACAAGTTATTAAATCAGAAGTGATTTACAACAAGTGAATATATTCCTAGAAGATTTGACATTACATGAATTGCAACATAAAATTTTTGTGGTTGAAAATATGACTTTGTGAATTCTGGATTCAGTAAACTGGAAATAAAAAACTTTCTAGGTCTTTAACACTTCTTATTACTTCCCATAATTCTGAACAAAAATCATTCTTAAAAAAAAATGTAATAAAATGTATCAAAGAGATTCCTATTATTACTGTTGTAGCTACAGAGCCTATTTCCCAGTTTACTGATGGTTTCTGCTTTTCCAGACACTACCTGTTGGTTCCTTGTATGATTCCTGTAGTGTATTCAGTGCCCCTGAGGTGAACCGTTTGGTTGGAGGATCATTTTTTGTTCCTGGTACCCCAGTCAAGGACTGCCAGGCAGAGGATGCTGTTGTAGATTCAGATACTGAAGGATTGTTAGTTTCTGAAAAAGATATCATGATTCTGTTTAATTTTAGAAATTTCTATAAGGTTTAAAAAGCATAATTACTGAGATATTTTCAACGAAAATGAAATTGTTAGTGTTTTTCTAAAATGGAATTAAGAGTAATTTTTTTCGCATTCATAGATGACAAACTTGTTACCAAATAAAAGTACACTGAAAGCAATATTTTGAAAAAAAACCCAGTGTTTCATACTTCAAAGTTTAAAAAACTGTAATAACCAAGAGAAAATTCTATATTCTTTATAGGGTCTAACTTACCCAGTATACACCTTTATAGGGTCTAACTTACCCAGTATACACCTTTATAGGGTCTAACTTACCCAGTATACACCTTTATAGGGTCTAACTTACCCAGTATACACCTTTATAGGGTCTTACCCAGTTACCCTTTAGTATACACCTTTATAGGGTCTAACTTATACACCTTTATAGGGTCTACCCAGTATACACCTTTATAGGGTCTAACTTACCCAGTATACACCTTTATAGGGTCTAACTTACCCAGTATACACCTTTATAGGGTCTAACTTACCCAGTATACACCTTTATAGGGTCTAACTTACCCAGTATACACCTTTATAGGGTCTAACTTACCCAGTATACACCTTTATACTTACCCAGTATACACCTTTATACTTACCCAGTATACACCTTTATACTTACCCAGTATACACCTTTATAGGGCCTTACTTACCCAGTATACACCTTTATAGGGTCTAACTTACCCAGTATACACCTTTATAGGGTCTAACTTACCCAGTATACACCTTTATAGGGTCTAACTTACCCAGTATACACCTTTATAGGGCCTTACTTACCCAGTATACACCTTTATAGGGCCTTACTTACCAAGAATACATTTTTCTCATTCTATCAAAGAAACAAATGGTTACATTTCTGTTAAACTAGACTTACTTTTCTTCAAAATGCCTCTGAGGACTGGTGGTTTGGTTGTACTGGTCTGTCCTACAGTAACTGGTGGCATGTTTTGTGATGAACCTATACCAAAATAAAAATAAAAAAACATACAAGTAAAATATGTACAATTTAAATCATGACCAATAAGCACACTCATGACATTGATAATGAAACAAAGGTTTTCCCGTTCTTTATTTGTATGGCAGATGATATTGACTTTCATTTGACAATGAATGCCATCTCATATCTGACCATTATGTTGTCACTATGATAACCAATAGGTTGGTGACCATATGCCTATCTATTCACTAAATAAGGAATTACAGCTGTGTAGAAAATGTAAATCTAACCTCATTAATATGTCTTATGGAAGACACAGCCGACTGGTTTTACATAGATTTAAAATTAAACCAACTATAAATGAAAATTCAAAACATTTTTTTGCAAACTTTACACAAACCTTGCCCACTAAGTCTGTTGCTTGTGCTCTTTGGTGGACTTTGCTCTCTGAATGTGCTAGGTGGGGGCATCAAGGAAGTATCAGCATTTCTGTTCTGGTTTGAGCTGGACTGCTGCATTCCAAAGTGCATTGACTGACTAAGAACTGGGTTTGTCTGATTTCCAAACTGTCCAAGAACAGGGTTTGTCTGATTTCCAAATTGACCAGACCCAGAATCTGTCTGGCTTCCAAACCTATTTGGTCCAGAGTTCGTCTGGTTTCCAAACTGACCTGGTCCAAAATTTGTTTGGTTTCCAAACTGACCTGGTCCAAAATTTGTTTGGTTTCCAAACTGACCAGGTCCATAGTTAGTTTGGTTTCCAAAATGACCAGGTCCAGAATTTGTCTGGTTTCCAAACCTATTTGGTCCAGAGTTTGTCTGGTCTCCAAACTGACCAGGTCCCAAGCCTGGAAACTGTTTTCCAACCAGATTAGGTCCTGAACTGAGGGACAGGTTTCCATAATTAGGAGGTGGGTTTCCATAAGGTCCAGGATTCTGTGGTAGATTCCCAGAAGAAACATTAAGTGGTGGCATATTAGTACCAAATTGGTTAGGTCCAAGGTTTCCAAACTGGTTTGCTGCCATAACAGGGTGGTTGTTGTATTGATTTGAAGCAGAAGTGTTTTGAGAGTGCCCAAACTGATTTTCTATTTGGTTTATGTTGGTTTGTGGCACGTTACCAGCAAACTGACTTCCTACCTGATTGGCATTAGGTGGTGGCACCATGTTACCATACTGATTTTGGCCGAGATTGGACACCTGCATACCGGCTCCACCCATCTGACCACCAGTCTCTTGGGAACTGTAGGAGCCTGGCTGTTGACCTCTATACATGTCTCCTGAAGATTGGAATCTTTCGCACCTACGATCTGGTGATCTTCTGTACCTTGAATCAGGAGATAATGACCTTCTTGACCTTGAGTCTGGAGACCTTGACCTTCTTAGTCTAGGATCTGGTGATCGTGACCTTCTAAACCTTGGATCTGGTGAAACTGATCTGGAACGTTTCCGACTTGTATACCTTACTGGAGATCTAGACCTTGACACTTCATGAGAAGGTGGTGAGTTCTGACTCCTTGATGAAAGCATTGTGGATGATGAAATATTAGGATAACGGACAGGTGATCGACTTATGTACAACTCTTGTGAATTCTGACTACTAAAATTATAAGGACTGAGAGATCGTCTAGACTGGCGGTCATACGAATTAGGAGATAGGTTGCCCCGACTATCATATGTATGTTGAGAATATCGAGAGCCCATCCTCCGCTCTGGTGACCGTCGATTTGGACCACCAGCATAATGGTCAGAAGACGGGGCTGACCTGCCTGAAGAACCATGATTACCAGGCGAACGCCTAGAGAGGGACATGTACTGATCTGCTGAACGCAATTCTCTAGGAGGAGACTTGTTCCTGTAGCGGTCTGGGGACTTTCCTGACTTCAGACTACGATCTGATGACATTCTAGATCGTTCTGAAGAATGTCCTCGAGTGGCATCCGATTGGTTACGATAACGATTAGGGGAGAGTCTTGAGCGGCTGTCTCTAACTGTATCGGTTCTGGAAGGAGACTTTCGTCCTGATGACTCACGATCTTTGTGGTACTCAGGAGACAATCTTCGCCGTTTGTAATACTCGGGAGACAACCTTGTTCTGGATTTGTCTGTTCTCGTAGAACGATCAGGTGACTGCCTGCCTGGCGAACGCTTTGACCGTGATGATGGAGAGATGTGTTTGGGTGACCTGGATCCTGTTGACATTTTATTGATTAATGGAGGTAGCCGACGTCTGTTAAGGTCTGGTGAGGGCCGTCTTTCTCCTCTCCTTTCATCCTGACGTTGCTCCCTCATCCTTTTATCTCTATCAGTTCCTTGTTGATCTCCTGTTCGGTCTCTTTCCTCTAACCTACTTTTCCCCTCCCTACTCCGAGATTTGGAATCACTTTTGCCATCTTTTGCCAGTTCTGAGGATGCTCTACATTTTTGGTCTTTGGTCGTTTTATTTTTCTCATCCTCCTTTCCATGGGATTCATTCTTTGAATTTATTTTGTCTGCCTGGTTTTGAATTTCTTTATTTGACTTAGCATCTTTTATCTTATGTCCTTTACTTCCTTTATCAACATTTTGTTGGCCTACAGTTTGCTTCTCTTCTTCCTGTTTTGATTTGTCTATAGGGGCATTAACTTTTCCACACAGGTTATCACTGGTTTTTGGTGCTTCTTCCATTTGTTGTTTCTTTTCTGAAGGGTCTGGTTGCTTGGATACTTTATCTTTAGCACCAACTAGACGGCTAACAGGAATAGGCTGTATTTGTTTGGGAGATTCAATTTTCTTCACATTAAAGGCCAATTTAGGCTGAGGTCTTTTTTTATCAGAACTTTTCTCCTGACTTTTAGATAGAATTTTGTCAAGCTCCTGAGTTGCCTCTTCTGTGCTATTTTTTGACATAATATTTGTTTGTTGCTTTGACGGAGGATCTTGAGTGGTCACTGGTTTCCTATGGATATAGTAGTCAAGGGACTGACTGATTGGAAGCTGTGGCGGTGGTCCTCGAGGCGGAGCTTGACTGACAGGTACCTGTGGAAGTGCTGCTAGTGAGACAGATACTGCTCCAGAAGCTGAAATCAGCAATACAAACCATATATCAATTTTCTTTTGTTTCGTTGTGTTAAAATGCACAACACAAATGAAAAAGTGAACAATTTGCTTTAGAACTTTCTGATTTATTCTTTTTATGATAAACTTCCCTTTCTATATACTCTGCAGTTTTCTATGGTTACAATCTGAAATTAAGATACAAATTTTAACAAATCTTTTCCCATTTCAAACTGAACATATACACAATGATGTCCTTGTAACAAAATCTCGAATACTTAATAATACACAATGAAGATGCAGCATTAATAACATAATCAACATGGTCGTTTAAAGTTTGTATCAGTATTTCACATGATACAACGATTAATAGTATGTACAAAAGTCCAATAGAAAATGAGTTGAAGGGAAGAAGGGGCAGCAGAAGTTCCTTTCCAACTCAGCAAGCTGTCCAATATTACTGTCACTCATGTGGGGATCATTCATTTTGAAACAAGTTGGTCATTTTTCCCTAACCTACAGTTGGCAGTGATTCATATTACCAAAACAGAGTAATTTTTTTTCTTTTTGATATTGATTATTGCTACAGTGCTCTGTAATGGTCACAAACCTTGTGGTGTGCTAGGGAACAGGGGTGGTGCTACTCGAACACCTTGTGGCCTCATTACTGGAAAGTTAGGGAAACCTGGGCGTCCAGGAAAACAAGGAGCCGGAGTTGGCACTGAAGCACAAATGTAACAATATCAGCAAAATCATTCAGTTTGATCAGAACACAGGAATACAAGATGATTCTGCCCTCAATGAAAGATATATGTTACAAAGCAAATCTGGAAATTTGACCTTTTGTATCGTACAAGAAACCGCAATCTGCAATTAATAACTACAATCAAAAGGATGGTAGAAATACTTCCATCCATACATAATTAATCTTCATGTATTTAATGCTATCAGAGCATGACTATTCACAAGAGAGAGAAATGTAATTATTTCATGGTAAAACACTGCAAATTGATGATAAGAACTTATCCATGGTAAAAAAAAATTTTTTAACATTATGTAAAAAAAAAATGGGGCAAAGCCACAATTGGCCAGGTTGCGGGATGAGTGCAATGTTATATGGGTATTTATAAGACAGTTAAGGGTGTTTCATTTGTTAAGTATGTAGAATATTTGCTATAAGAGAGAAAGTTTGGTTGTATTTTATGAATTGGTACAGAAGACGGGCATTTGAAAAAAGTAGTTGCAGCCATTTTTGATTCGGAGATGTTAAAAAAATAGACAATGGACATCTAGGGCCCCAAGGTGATTTATATGTGGAATTTTCAAAAGATTCTTGTAGAAGTTTCTGAGAAACTGTGATAACAAGAAAAGTTTCAGAAAATGACTACCAGTAAGTTCCAAAGCCCTGAAAATTCAGAAGAAAGTCTGGAATGAATCCATGATATGAGGTGCACATCTTCCACATATATCTAAACATCCTACAACATTTCAAGCTTCTACGTCAAAAACTCTAGGAGATGATTCTACAAAACTGGTACCCATTTTCCCTGCTAGCCCGCCCGCCCGCCCACCTGCCCACCTGCCTTCCCAGCGGTTTGACATTCATCATACTATAACCCGGATGTGTACTATGTGCAACCCGGCCAATTATTGTTTTAAGGCATTCATCTATCAAAATAAGGCCCTTATACATCTATCAAATTAAGGCCCTTATACATCTGCCCAATTAAGGCCCTTATACATCTGCCAAATTAAGTCCCTTATACATCTATCAAATTAAGGCCCTTATACATCCGCCAAATTAAGGCCCTTATACATCTGCCAAATTAAGGCCCTTATACATCTGCCCAATTAAGGCCCTTATACATCTGCCAAATTAACTGTTTACAACCATAGAACTGTTAGAGATCACACACTTATAGGTTCACTTGGGCCATTTCCTTCTGAATTCAGTCTTCCTAAATATGAGGAGTATAACTGATCTACAGAGTGAAAACTTTTATAGACAATTTGCCATCGTAACAGGATGCCTACACATTTGTGATGTTTATCTACTGATCATGACAATACAGGTATTTTGTTTATATACTGACCTTGCTGTTGATAGGAAGTGCCTCCAGTCACCTGAGGAGGCATGCCCAGATGAGCAGGTGCAATAAGGCCTGGCTGTGGCCCCCGCTGAGGGGCTGGTGCAGACTGAACACCCCTTGCATGTCCAAGCAGTGGTCCCCTGGGTCTAAAATGTGGTTGTGGGCCCCTTGTTGTCCCTCTTGGAACATTTGGCTGAGTCTGATCTCCCTTTGGGAGGTTTAGTGCTAACTGAGCCCGAAACCCCATTGGAATACTCGGTTGGGCTGGAGGGCCTCTTGGAAGGCCAATTTGGTTATTTGGAGTTCTAAGGGATGGTACTTTTGGTATTGGCAATGCTGGCTGTTGAGGAGTGGTATTGTCTGATTCCCCAAGCCCGGGAATGCTGACCGGAATGGATGAAGAAGGTGTTTGTTTGGCAAGTTGTTGTGCAGTTATACGAGCTTGTTGTGCAGCCAACTGATCTTTCACCACAGACTGTAATGAAGGTGGTAAGTCTATTGAAGCAGCTTCTGTCAATGTCTCTATAGCCTTTAACTGTGCTGCCAAGGCAGCACTTGACTCAGCTGATTCTGATCCATACTCTGATGCAGCAAGCTTACTGATAGTGGCCTCAACAGCCTTCACTGCTTGCACAGCTGAAGACAGGACTGGACCAGTGGTTATTGGCACTGTGGTATGTGAAGATTTTAACTGTGAGTTTGATGCTTCAGATGCTGATTGTGCCACTGAAAAGAACACAATTATGATTTCATAATTAAAACAAATTTAAAAACTTATTCAATCAGAGGTAGAATCAAATAAAGATATCTTCATACAAATTGAAAGACACCATTTTTTCAGATCTACACATCAAACAGCAAAAATAACTGACCCTTAACTAAATTTTGGATCTTCCTATTGTTTGCATATGCAACCCAAGATTATTAACTTAGTTCTATAACCGTTACTATGACTACTCAGTATTGTAATTTTTTCAAATGCTATGTTCAATCATTAAACATCCATTAAAAACTTATTTTCCATTTCATTACCATACTTTAAGCTTACCTTAAATATGCCTTCAAATCTTTTTCGAAAGAATTTCATGTGTAAATCGACTAACATCTAAACAACATAATATCTATGGAGACCAAAACGAACACTAGGGTACACTTACCCTTAGCTATCTCTAAACACGCCTTTTTGGCTTCCTTTGCGGCCTTCCTCTCCAAGGCTTTCCGTTTTTCTGCCTTGAATCTGGCCATAGGAGGTGGCTTGACTGGCTGTTGGCTATCCTTGGATTCTCCAGACTGTACAAAGCCACTAGGAAGACAAAAAAATAACCAAATTACTAACACTCCACACCACATAATATATAACCTATACAATATCATGGTTTTGTCATTTCATAATTACGGAATCATCTTACATTATGCGGCCATTTTACAATAAATTGAAAGATTTACTTCTAGTTAATATTCTACAATGAAATCATGTATTTTTGTGGGACTTAATTTTCATGGTTTTAAAAAAAACATGATATAAATTCCCCACAAAAATGAATGATTTTACAGTATATTGATACATTACCTGTATTTTCTCATCATGCTACACTTAAGGACCTTTACATTTTATCATGTTATTTGAAAAGTACACTTTTTTTGCTTGTTTTACAGATATATAAATATACTGTCAACACTTCTAAACTATTTCCTTTACTACTAATTTGGTATCCAGAGTATATAGAGACAAAAAGCATCCTTCTATACCAGATAGTAAGCGCTACATCAAGCACACCAGACTTGTGTTTTCTATGTAATATAGATCTGTATTACCTGGCTATCTATTTTTTGCTCTAAAAGGTTCTTACACAATTTTCATTGGACATCACTCTTAAAGCTTCATTTATCAAACAATGAGTCTTTCTCAGTATAATTTTCTTGATCAAAACTTGACATAGATTCTACAGATTGTTAAGTTATGATGCTATGAAGGTTGTTCAATCTTCTATCAAATTCTTACAGAAATAACAAAAACATATAATTTAACTGCACTCTATAGTTTAACTGCACTACTGATAAGTAGCCTTATACAAGTGAACATTCATGTTATTATAATTGTTTATTTGTTGTTGTACGACAATATCCAATATTAAACTTCAGTCCAAAGTTATGCGTTCGTAAAAGTTTGTAACATCCATCTGAAGTAGTAAGGATTAGACGACATGTGTCCCTGTTTCAAATGATACAGCAGTTTCAAAACCATAAGTGTCTTCATAAAGAGAATATTATCATGCTCTTTGGTTCCAGCCATCAGAGTGTATTACACGTCTGAAATTGCAATGGAAATGAAATTACCAAAAGAAATAAAACAAACATAAAATGAAATTGTTTAGGTTAGATGCCACACAATCTGATGTTAAAAGTTTTATGGAAAGTGTAAGGTTTCCTTTCTGTACAGCAAGAAAGTTCTCGACTTTGTGAGGTAATTTTCTAGACTGACTGCAGGTCATGCTTGGCAACAGAGGCAGTCAGTCTAGGTTTTACCATACTTTCATCACGAAGAATGGGGACCCTTTTAGGATATTCTGATATCTGCTGTTGGACTGTCCTGCCATTTAGAACATTCTGATATCTGTTGTTGGACTGTCCTGCCATTTAGAATATTCTGATATCTGCTGTTGGACTGTCCTGTCATTCAGGATATTCTGATATCTGTTGTTGGACTGTCCTGTCATTCAGGATATTCTGATATCTGCTGTTGGACTGTCCTGTCATTCAGGGTATTTTGATATCTGCTGTTGGACTGTCCTGTCATTCAGGATATTCTGATATCTGCTGTTGGACTGTCCTGTCATTCAGGGTATTTTGATATCTGCTGTTGGACTGTCCTGTCATTCAGGGTATTCTAATATCTGTTGTTGGACTGTCCTGCCATTAAGGGTATTCTGATATCTGTTTTTTGACTGTCCTGTCATTCAGGATATTCTAATATCTGCTGTTGGACTGTCCTGCCATTTAGGGTATTCTAATATCTGTTGTTGGACTGTCCTGCCATTTAGGATATTCTGATATCTGCTGTTGGACTTTCCTGTCATTTAGGATATTCTGATATCTGTTATTGGACTGTCCTGCCATTAAGGGTATTCTGATATCTGTTTTTTGACTGTCCTGTCATTCAGGGTATTTTGATATCTGCTGTTGGACTGTCCTGCCATTCAGCGTATTCTGATATCTGCTGTTGGACTGTCATGTCATTTAGAATATTCTGATATCTGCTGTTGGACTTTCCTGTCAATTCTGACATCTGGTCTTGGACTTCCTTGTCAATCTTGACATCTGTTGTATGGATTTTCCTGTCAATTCTGATATTTGTTGTTGGACTTTCCTGTCAATTCTGACAACTGTTGTTGGTCTTTCCTGTCAGTTCTGACATCTGTTTGAGGACTTTTCTGTCAATCCTAATATCTATTGTAGGACTTTCCTGTCGATTCTCACACATCCGTTGTTGGTCTTTCCTGTTAATTCTGACATCTGTTGTTGGACTTTCCGGTCAATTCTGACATATGTTGTTTGACTTTACTGTCAATCCTGGCATCTGTTGTAGATCTTTCCTGTCTAATAATTCTGACATCTGTTGTATTGATATTCCTGTAAATTCTGATATCTGTTGTAGGACTTTTCTGTCAATCCTGGCATCTGTTGTAGGACTTTCCTGTCAATCCTGGCATCTGTTCTTGGACTTTCCTGTCAATCCTGGCATCTGTTGTAGGACTTTCCTGTCAATCCTGGCATCTGTTCTTGGACTTTTCTGTCAATTCTGACTGTCAATCCTGACATCTGTTCTCGGACTTTCCTGTCAATCCTGATATCTGTTGTAGGACTTTCCTGTCAATCCTGACATCTGTTGTAGGACTTTCCTGTCAATCCTGACATCTGTTCTTGGACTTTTCTGTCAATCCTGATATCTATTGTAGGACTTTCCTGTCAATCTTGACAACTTTTGTAGGACTTTCCTGTCAATCCTGACAACTTTTGTAGGACTTTCCTGTCCATTCTGACATCTGTTGTAGGACTTTCCTGTCAATCATGACATCTGTTGTACGGACTTTTCTGTCAATCCTGACATCTGTTGTAGGACTTTCCTGTCAATCCCGACATCTGTTGTATGGACTTTTCTGTCCATTCTGACATATGTTGTAGGACTTTCCTGTCAATCCTGACATTGTTGTATGGACTTTTCTGTCCATTCTGACATATGTTGTAGGACTTTCCTTTCAATCCTGACATTGTTGTATGGACTTTTCTGTCCATTCTAACATCTGTTGTAGGACTTTTCTGTCCATTCTGACACTTGTTGTATGGACCTTTCTGTCCATTCTGACATCTGTTGTATGGACTTTTCTGTCAATCCTGACATCTGTTGTAGGACTTTCCTTTCAATCCTGACATTGTTGTATGGACTTTTCTGTCCATTCTGACATCTGTTGTAGGACTTTTCTGTCCATTCTGACACTTTTTGTATGGACTTTTCTGTCCATTCTGACATATGTTGTAGGACTTTCCTTTCAATCCTGACATCTGTTGTTGGACTTTTCTGTCCATTCTGACATCTGTTGTATGGACTTTTCTGTCAATCCTGATATCTATTGTAGGACTTTCCTTTCAATCCTGACATCTGTTGTTGGACTTTCCTGTCAATCCCGACATCTGTTGTATGGACTTTTCTGTCCATTCTGACATCTGTTGTATGGACTTTTCTGTCAATCCTGACATCTGTTGTAGGACTTTCCTGTCAATCCTGACATCTGTTGTAGGACTTTCCTGTCAATTCTGACAACTGTTGTAGGACTTTCCTGTCAATCCTGACATCTGTTGTAGGACTTTCCTGTCAATTCTGACAACTATTGTAGGACTTTCCTGTCAATCCTGACATCTGTTGTATGGACTTTTCTGTCCATTCTGACATCTGTTGTATGGACTTTACTGTCAATCCTGACAACTATTGTAGGATTTTCCTGTCAATCCTGACATCTGTTGTAGGACTTTCCTGTCAATCTTGACAACTTTTGTAGGACTTTTCTGTCAATCCTGACATCTATTGTAGGACTTTCCTGTCAATCCTGACATCTGTTGTAGGACTTTCCTGTCAATCCTGACATCTGTTGTAGGACTTTCCTGTCAATCCTGACATCTGTTGTAGGACTTTCCTGTCAATCCTGACATCTGTTGTAGGACTTTTCTGTCCATTCTGACATCTGTTGTAGGACTTTACTGTCAATCCTGACATCTGTTGTAGGACTTTCCTGTCAATCCTGACATCTGTTGTATGGACTTTTCTGTCAATCCTGACATCTGTTGTATGGACTTTTCTGTCAATCCTGACATCTGTTGTAGTACTTTCCTGTCAATCCTGACATCTGTTGTATGGACTTTTCTGTCCATTCTGACATCTGTTGTATGGACTTTTCTGTCCATTCTGACATCTGTTGTATGGACTTTTCTGTCCATTCTGACATCTGTTATTGAAATGTCCTGTCTAAAGGTTATTTGACAGCTGTTTTTAATTGTCCTGCCAATAAGGGCATTCTGACAGCTGTTGTTGGTCTTTCATGTCATTTTAGGTGTAAAACGTCTTGTCCAGTCAAATGTTAACATGAAGTAATAACATTATCAGCTCTGGCAAATTTTTCCTTGATTTAAAAACACTCAAAGAGATTTTTTTCCCTTCCATCAAAATTGCAATGCAGCAGACATTGTTTTTTCAGTGTCCTTCACCTCCTTACTCTTGAAACTGGTGTTTCTATAATCTAAACAATCCACTGCTTTTCTGTTCTAAATACTGTTTATTTTTTTGACATCGGATCCTCCTGTAGCTCAGTGTTGATAAGCCTCTCAGTCTGTCTGGATATATATAATAGACCCTAGAGTCCATGTAAATGCTTGGTTGTCCTCTGTCATACTGCCTCACTTATATCAATGTCTTACTTCTACATGTATCCCATACAATGTATGGTTACTTGAGATGAAATCTTAACTAGTGTCAGTAAGAAATGCATTCCAAAATCAAAATTTCCTCTTACAAGTTCCAAAGTAGATTTTATGTTCATATATTCTATATCTTCCATTTCTTATCTATTTCCCATGGTTGCTTGATTTTCCCACGAAAATTGTCTATACCTAATTTGCCAACCAATGTACAGAGATTTATGCAGCTAGCAATGAAATTTAGTAATATTTCTTCACTCCATGTTGACAGCTGGGCAGGATCATCTTGAAAAACACACCATAGCCTCTTACTTAATTGCTTTCTAAAGGTCGTTTATACATTGGTATATGTAATGAACAATGTTCCTTTACACATTCAATGTTTACATTTCCCTATAAAACATCCTTTCTGTTCAAGATATGACTGGCATTTCCTCCTTGTCTGGTTCTGTGACTCACATTTTAGAAATGCATAGCCAGCATATTTTATAATGTCTTTCCTTTTCTTCATCAAAGGATAGTTAGTTGCCTGGTTTCGTAAACACATTTCTGGTTTCTGCTTTATATTGTATTCTGAAATATCAATTCCTTATTTGGTCATCACTAATAAATGCCATCTTTCCAAGAGAGTGTCTAAATTCCGCAATATTTGTCCATTATTTGGTCATCACTGGTAATAGACCATTCTTTATTTGGTCATCACTGGTAATAGCCCATTCCTTATTTGGTCATCACTGGTAATAGCCCATTCCTTATTTGGTCATCACTGGTAATAGACCATTCTTTATTTGGTCATCACTGGTAATAGCCCATTCCTTATTTGGTCATCACTGGTAATAGACCATTCTTTATTTGGTCATCACTGGTAATAGCCCATTCCTTATTTGGTCATCACTGGTAATAGACCATTCTTTATTTGGTCATCACTGATAATAGCCCATTCCTTATTTGGTCATCACTGGTAATAGCCCATTCCTTATTTAGTCATTATTGGTTATAGATGTCTTTCTGAGAGTTGTTTTTTCCCTGTCTTGTCTCCTATATCTCTGTTAATGAGATACTGGTGTCTCGTCTCAATCTCCCTTTTCTAAATGTTCCAGCTTTACTGATCAATATTTTATTTGTTGATATAAGTTTGATAGATCATTCCATGTGTTTCCATTTGGTCTGTAAAACCTGGTCTACTTCTGTCCATGTTTTTCAGCCTGGTCCCTGGCCCCTGGTCTTTCACTTCTCAGAGCACCTGTCCGTATCCTTTCCAACTTTTGATCGACTGAATTTCTTCACACATTCTTCCATCTCTTTCCCTTTCTAATACTCTGTGTACTGTTTGGTTCTTTAGAATTCCTTTCATTGACTCTTTGCTTTTCCATATGAAGTTTTGCAAGCCTGCTCAATCGATCCTTGTGTGGTGGCATAGTGCAATGTTACACACTCACTTTCACCTTGGCTACCAGTGTTCAATTTACCGATCAAACGTGAAATATATGAGGTAACCTTTTCCAACATGAGTGCTTACCCCTGGTACTCCAGATTCCTCCAACAGTAGGAGCACTCATATCCCAAAATATGTATCTGCCACTGTTACTAACATTTGTATAAATGACATGCTTCAAACATGCTCCTTTTTCCCTTCTTATCACTGGTGATGGAAATTGTATTCATAGCATCATAGTGATTCCAACCAATTTCCATTTGTTTATATCTGATGGCAAAGATTATAAACACATTCCTTCTTTGATTGATCCTTGATGATGACAATCCAACTGAATAAGTTCCTGATCTCAGAATCCTTGACATCAAACTGGAGGCTGTAAACAACTGCAGCTAAAATTTCACCTGTACATAAATTACAGTTATCAATCAACTGTCATTTATTCCAGGTGAGACAGAACCTCTCAAGCTCATACTGTAATAATTCACCATCTTGTGTGTAAAGTTACGTTCCATATCAGTCTTATACCTTTTTCATCTTAAAGATGGGACAGGGATGCAGAATAACTTTGGACCTTTATGAGATCACCGACTGATATGTTCAGTAAAAATACTTTTTCTAAGGAATTCATCTCAGCTGAACATGGTCAGAAATAAGGAAATGCCTTGAACACTACCTGTTTCTGTGAGTTATATATATATATCTGGTACCATCTAATAAACTGGAAAATTATACAGTGCTCAAATATAATCTGAAAGCTAAATCTTAAATGTTTGGTCAGCAGTTATTGAATTTTCATATATATTATGACTTCAGATATCCTACACAAGGTATCATGAGAAATGAGATTGTGATCTCATTTGCTAAAGGCTTAAATGAAAAATGGTGTAGTATAAGGCAGTATTTTCAGATTCAGTGGTCTTTGCAGAAGGCAGTACATGGCTGGACATGCAGACGATACATGGCCTTAAATCACGGAAACATTAGATAGCTAAAGAGTCTCTGCCAAACAGCAGACATAAGACCAGATGTTGCCAGGACAAATGACGAGTGTTTATGATGACGTTTCCTTGTTGATCTTCTTTAAACCATTACCTCTTCCCCGTAGTTGATCCAGTAGTTTTCTCATCCTGATTCTGAAAGTAAAATCAAGAAATCAAACATTTTGGGTCATTTCTACAATCTTTGGCATTGTCTCAACACAGTATTTGTGTCACATGACACACACCAGTGTCAAGTGTGAGCAATGTTAAGGTTGTATCCAGGTCTGTTATAACATGTACCTCAGTCAGATATCGGCTAATGATTCAAAATGGCTATGGTTAACACAACACTTTCCTGAACAGTAATGATACACTCTGAAAATAAATATATCATATTAATATTTGAGCAAAGTTTGACTTTTAAAAGCATTAGAAAAAAATTGGCTTCCAAACTTTTGAGGGTTATATTTAGCTGTCATGGCCAACTTGCCGAAATTTATACATAATATTGTTTTAAGTGAAAAAAAATGATTTGGTTAATGATGCCAAAATTGTTTCTCTTCAAATATGATGACAAGAATGTGTAAGGACAGAAGTTTTACGGGATGCCCAATATTATCAAAATAATCATAAAAGTGAAGGGAAGCAAAATCCTGATCAGGATTGTAACAAATTAAAATCTAATTCTTATCAAAATGATAATTCATCAAAAATAGTCACATGAACTTTAAGATTGCAAATATTGCTTCCCACAGGAAAAAATTACAGTAATAATGAGCTCATTGTTTGGGTGAGATATTATGTCTAGACATAGGAACACCTAATTATAGAAAAATGCATGTGACGGACAAAAATCCTGACAAGACAGTATATAATGTTAAGAACCATGATATAGTGAGCAGTATTTTATAACTGCAAAAAATTTTTTATAATCAACACTTCAGCAAAAAAAAACAACAAAAAATTCCCTTTGTTCACTTGTATCATCTTTGTGTAAAAATAATAAGACAATAAATTCATTTTCAGTGGAGTACAATTCAGTTAGATTGCCTTCCTCTGATGTATACATATTGTGATAAACAAATGTGATAAATGAAGGCAAGGCAGTTATGAGACAAAGTTTGGTAGTCAGTAAAAAATATTGCAAAGAAATGTATGCCTTTTCTATTCTGATGCAAAAAATGAGTCATTCTCTCACAAAAATAGTAATGATGACCTTGACCTTTGCACTTTAGAGCACAAATCCATTCATACTATTATTCTTGATCTTTGTATTTAGTCAAAATCCATTCAGAAGTAAGACATATCAATCATGAGTCACTACAGTACAATATCATGACACTGAACAGTATTCTAATTGGCGAAATAGGTTTTATTTTCACGTTTTTCTGCAACACTGGTGTAAAAGTGAAATAAATACCTTAATCAATCATAATCTCCCCAGTATGATAGAAAGGACCTGGACACTGCCACCTTCCAGGTGTTATATATAGCCGGACACTGCCACCTTCCAGGTGTTATATATAGCCGGACACTGCCACCTTCCAGGTGTTATATATAGCCGGACACTGCCACCTTCCAGGTGTTATATATAGCTGGACACTGCCACCTTCCAGGTGTTATATATAGCTGGACACTGCCACCTTCCAGGTATTATATATAGCTGGACACTGCCACCTTCCAGGTGTTATATATAGCTGTAGCTGGACACTGTCACCTTCTAGGTGTTATATATAGCTGGACACTACCACCTTCCAGGTGTTATATATAGCTGGACACCGCCACCTTCCAGGTGTTATTCATAGCTGGACACCGCCACCTTCAAGGTGTTATATATAGCTGGACACTGCCACCTGCAAGGTGTTATATATAGCTGGACACTGCCACCTTATAGGTATTATATATAACTGAACACTGCCACCTTCCAGGTGTTATATACAGCTGGACACTGCCATCTTCCAAGATTTATATATAGCTGGACACTGCCACCTTCCAGGTGTTAAATATAGTTGGACACTGCCACTTTCCAGGTGTTATATATAGCTGGACACTGCCGCCTTCCAGGTATTATATAAAGCTGGACACTGCCACCTTCCAGGTGTTATATATAGGCCACCTTCCAGGTATTATGTATAGATGGACACTACTACCTTCCAGGTGTTATATATAGCTGGACACTGCCACCTTCCAGGTATTATATATAGCCGGACACTGCCACCTTCCAAGTGTTATATATAGCTAGACTGCCACCTTCCAGGTGTTAAATATAGCTGGACATTGCCACCTTCCAGGTGTTATATATAGCTGCACAATGCCACCTTCCAGGTGTTATATATAGCTACAAAATGCCACCTTCTAGGTGTTATATATAGCTGGACACTGACACCTTCCACCTGTTATAAGATTGCTGGACACTGACATCTTCCACCTGTTATAAGATTGCTGGACAACATTACTTTCCAGATGTATATGAAAATGGGCACTGCCACATTCCACTTGTTAGAGACAGCTAGACATTGCTGTCTTGCAAATGTTATAGATAGGACATTGCCACCTTTCTGGTGTTATAGATAACTGGACACTGTCATCTTCCAGGTTTTATAGATAGCTAGAGAGCATCACCTCCCAAATGTTATAGATAGGACATTGCCATCTTCCAGGTGTTATAGATATCTAGAGAGCTTCTCCTCCCAAATATTATAGATAGGACATTGCCATCTTCCAGATGTTATAGATATCTAGAGAGCTTCTCCTCCCAAATGTTATATGTAGGTGGATACTAACACCTTCCATGTATCACAAAAAGGTTGATACCACCCTCCAGTTGTAATAAATAGGCCGAAACCATCCGCCAGTTGTAACAAATAGGTGGACATCATCACCTTCCATGTGTTATAAATAGGTGGACAACATCACCTTCCATGTGTTATAAATAGGTGGACACCATCACCTTCCATGTGTTATAAATAGGTGGACACCATCACCTTCCATGTGTTATAAATAGGTGGACACCATCACCTTCCATGTATTATAAATAGGTGGACACCATCACCTTCCATGTGTTATAAATAGGTGGACACCATCACCTTCCATGTGTTATAAATAGGTGGACATCATCACCTTCCATGTGTTATAAATAGGTGGACATCACCTTCCATGTGTTATAAATAGGTGGACAACATCACCTTCCATGTGTTATAAATAGGTGGACACCATCACCTTCCATGTGTTATAAATAGGTGGACACCATCACCTTCCATGTATTATAAATAGGCCGACACCACCTTCAAGTTGTAATAGATAGGTGGACATCATCACCTTCCATGTATTATAAATAGGTGGACAACATCACCAAATAGGTGGACACCATCACCTTCCATGTGTTATAAATAGGTGGACACCATCACCTTCCATGTGTTATAAATAGGTGGACACCATCACCTTCCATGTGTTATAAATAGGTAGACACCATCACCTTCCATGTGTTATAAATAGGTAGACACCATCACCTTCCATGTGTTATAAATAGGTGGACACCATCACCTTCCATGTGTTATAAATAGGTGGACACCAACACCTTCCATGTGTTATAAATAGGTGGACACCATCACCTTCCATGTATCATAAATAGGTGGACACCATCACCTTCCATGTGTTATAAATAGGTGGACACCATCACCTCCCATGTGTTATAAATAGGTGGACAACATCACTTTCCATGTATTATAAATAGGTGGACATCATCACCTTCCATGTGTTATAAATAGGCCGAAACCATCTGCCAGTTGTAATAGATAGGTGAACACCATCACCTTCCAGGTGTTGAATAAAGATGGATGATATCACAGTCTTAGATGAACACATAGCATTTTTTGCTACAGTGTAGTGAGAGACAACACATCTTACAGTTCCGTCCTGTCCCAGCTTCTGTAATTCAGATGAAGACACAGATATTTATAGAAATGCTATATGGTCCTGGTTATATGGTATATGTGGAAACTTTTCCCACAGTTCATCTCCTGTCCATCTCCTCCTTTGTAAATGAAGTATAAACATATGTTGGGCACTTTAGAGATAATATACACATTTCCTACAAAGAATGTTAAAGGCAACTTTAAGACTAAGTGAAGATGAACATTTTTCTTTGAGGGCAACAGATATTTCAGGAAAGCATTGCCTTGTATACAGTATGATACAGTAACTGATAAGGAAGTATCTGATGCAGTCACACCCTGCTTTCTGTGCTTCAGTGCCTGACAAGAAGGCTGTTTGCCCATGATTTCCTTACATGGAAAAAGAAAAAAAAACAGCTATACTATGATTTCTGTGATCTTTGTGTTATTTAAAATGATAAGGATACAGTTCCTGTGATATGGTGACCAAGGAGGATACACTCATTTCCTGGTGTCATTGATACGGTGATAAAAGAAGATACAGGTCTATATGATTTCTGTGAAAAAGTTTTGCATGAAGATACAATTTCATCATGATTCTGGGGTACATGTTCTTTCCTGAGTAACAGATGAGGATGCCATGATTCCCTAGTTTCATTTCTTCTGGTTTCTCTGCTATGGTGACTGATAAGGACATAGTTCTTTCCTGGTTTCTGTGGTGCAGTCACTGATGAGAATGCAGTTCCTCCCTGGTTTCTGTGGTGTGATAACTGATGGGGATGCAGTTCTTCCCTGCTTTCTGTGATACAATCACTGATGAGAATTCAGTTCCTTCCCTGGTTTCCGTGTTACAATCACTGATGAGAATTCAGTTCCTTCCCTGGTTTCTGTGTTACAATCACTGATGAGAATGCAGTTCCTCCCTGGTTTCTGTGGTGTGGTAACTGATGGGGATGCAGCTCTTCCATGGTTTCTGTGATACAATCACTGATGAGAATGCAGTTCCTCCCTGGTTTCTGTTGTGTGGAAACTGATGGGGATTCAGTTCCTCCCTGGTTTCTGTGGTGTGGTAACTGATGAGAATTCAGTTCCTCCCTGGTTTCTGTGTTACAATCACTGATGGGAATTCAGTTCCTCCCTGGTTTCTGTGGTGTGGTAACTGATGGGGATTCAGTTCCTCCCTGGTTTCTGTGGTGTGGTAACTGATGAGAATTCAGTTCCTCCCTGGTTTCTGTGTTACAATCACTGATGAGAATTCAGTTCCTCCCTGGTTTCTGTGTTACAATCACTGATGAGAATTCAGTTCCTCCCTGGTTTCTGTGTTACAATCACTGATGAGAATTCAGTTCCTCCCTGGTTTCTGTGGTGTGGTAACTGATGGAGATGCAGCTCTTTCTGCTTTCCCTGCTTTCTGTGGTACAGTCACTGAAGAAATTAAATTTTCCACTGGTTACTATCATGTAATAACTGATGAGGAATCAGTTTTCCCCTGGTTTCTCTGGTATAGTAGGTGCAACCGATACAAAACATCATCAGGCGATTTCCATGTGAGTATATTGTCTTTTCTCTCCTGATACAAACATGGACCAGTCATGCTCCTCATGGTTACATTGTGTCTTTTCTCTCCTGATACAAACATGGACCAGGCATGCTCCTCATGGTTACATTGTGTCTTTTCTCTCCTGATACAAACATGGACCAGGCATGCTCCACATCAGGTTACATTGTGTCATTTCTCCCCTGATACAAACATGGATCAGGCATGCTCCATATGGTTACATTGTGTCTTTTCTCTCCTGATACAAACATGGACCAGGCATGCTCCACATGGTTACATTGTGTCTTTTCTCTCCTGATACAAACATGGATCAGGCATGCTCCACATGGTTACATTGTGTCTTTTCTCTCCTGATACAAACATGGACCAGGCATGCTCCTCATGGTTACATTGTGTCTTTTCTCTCCTGATACAAACATGGACCAGGCATGCTCCACATCCGGTTACATTGTGTCTTTTCTCTCCTGATACAAACATGGATCAGGCATGCTCCACATCAGGTTACATTGTGTCTTTTCTCTCCTGATACAAACATGGACCAGGCATGCTCCATATGGTTACATTGTGTCTTTTCTCTCCTGATATAAACATGGACCAGGCATGCTCCATATGGTTACATTGTGTCTTTTCTCTCCTGATATAAACATGGACCAGGCATGGTCCACATCAGGTTACATTGTGTCATTTCTCCCCTGCTACAAACATGGACTAGGCATGCTCCTCATGGTTACATTGTGTCATTTCTCTCCTGATACAAACATGGACCAGGCATGCTCCTCATGGTTACATTGTGTCATTTCTCTCCTGATACAAACATGGACCAGGCATGCTCCTCATGGTTACATTGTGTCTTTTCTCTCCTGATACAAACATGGACCAGGCATGCTCCACATCAGGTTACATTGTGTCATTTCTCTCCTGATACAAACATGGACCAGGCATGCTCCTCATGGTTACATTGTGTCTTTTCTCTCCTGATACAAACATGGACCAGGCATGCTCCATATGGTTACATTGTGTCATTTCTCTCCTGATACAAACATGGACGAGGCATGCTCCACATGGCTACATTGTGTCTTTTCCCTCCTGATACAGACATAGATCAGGCATGCTCCTCATGGTTACATTGTGTCTTTTCTCCCCTGATACAAACATGGACCAGGCATGCTCCATATGGTTACATTGTTTCTTTTCTCTCCTGATACAAACATGGACCAGGCATGCTCCATATGGTTACATTGTGTCATTTCTCTCCTGATACAAACATGGACCAGGCATGCTCCACATCAGGTTACATTGTGTCATTTCTCTCCTGATACAAACATGGACCAGGCATGCTCCTCATGGTTACATTGTGTCTTTTCTCTCCTGATACAAACATGGACCAGGCATGCTCCACATCAGGTTACATTGTGTCATTTCTCTCCTCATACAAACATTGACCAGGCATGCTCCACATGGTTACATTGTGTCTTTTCTCTCCTGATACAAATACAGATCAGGCTTGCTCCATGTGGATATAACTTGCCCTATTTCTAGAAAGGCTTTTTATCTGATTGTTCCATTTTAAGTTTTTCTATGACTGTCTCTACACATCAAAAGTTTAGATCAATTAGCTAGTTGACTTCTGACTTCATCATGTACTCTAGGTATTTATCTCCATCTGTGAGTCAAGTTATGACCAAAAGGCACTTTCCAAGACCTGACATTGACTCCTGGTAATGTCAATGCTGATCCACAGTAGTCTTTTCACAAATAGTGCCAGTCAGGAGACTTCCAACATTAAAAAGTGGTAGATCCATTGTCTAACTGTATATTCCAAATTATTGTTTAAGTTTATTTCTATATTATCACTGTCAACATGGAGAACATGCATTCAACTTCAAACAGTTCTTGCATGTATCAAATATATATCAAATGACAAAATATTCCGATGTCCAAGTTCTCACCTGTATCTGATTATATAACGGTGATGTTTTCTCCGTGTTGGGAGGTGTAGCAAGAAGATATGATTTATATAATTTCCTTATATACATTTCAATCTTTGTATTTACATTTCAAATGTTTGATGACTGAATGGGCATCTTTGTCAGAACTACATCATATCAATAGACTGCTACAGTATGAACAGCAGATCTTGGTCTATATAGAAATAGCTTCAGATCTCAGGGCTGTGTATTTAATCTGTACAACTGTGTCTTCTGATGAAAGATCCACTGTTTACATTACCTCGACAGCTTGTCTGGTACTAGATAGGCTTGTACATGAAGACTTCCATCATAATGACTTCATCTTGAGAGAGAGCAAGTTATCTTGAGATGTAAAACATGACAGCCTTGTCCTTATGGGAGTTTTTGTAATGTTACAGACCGTGGGACCAGGGTCCAATGAGAATGAAAGGCATGCCTGAAGTTTCATCACTGACTACTTCCAGTATTCCTGCTGTTGTTAAACACTCCACAATAACTAACACTAGAAACTGACAAGAGAAACTGAAATATTCTGTGTATTAAATCATCATTAACCAAACCTGGTTATTTATTCATCCAGTAAAATTTTTTAAACTATATTTTTTACATGAAGTCAGCATTCTAGTTCTCGAGACTTTAAACTGATCTTGAACAAAAGAAAACTTTTTTTTTTCAACATAGAGCCTCAGAATTGAGGAAGATACCTTGTGGTATGCTGGGCAATATCCATGTCATCTGTTCTAATAACTATGTTTATTTCAGATTTCTTAAGTGGACATACTTGTCCATTTCCCTTTCTGCTAATAACATCCCTGTTACTCTTCCATTGTTGTGTATAATGACAATTTATCATCTTAATCCATTTGTTGAAAATGTTCATGTCATCTGGCAGAAATTGTTTTCATATGTTATCTCATCAGCAGCACTGACAAAATCTGTTTCCTTCTATTTTGATCAGGAACCACAGCATAAAAACCTCAAAACTTTACAATTAAGGACACAAGTTTAAATTGTATACAGTGTCCTTAATTGTAAAACATTCTCATAAAAATTCAAATAAAAAACAAGAGGCCCATTGGATCTGTATTGTTCACCCGGTTTAGTTTGCTGAAAGTGATTAATTCTAATTAAGGGAAAAGTATTTAAAATACTGATATCCATTTCTTACATGCAAAAATTTGATAGGATCAAATTAGGTATGTTTACAGTATGAAAATAAATATTTCCTGAAGTTGTTTGTGGAATCCAAACAGGACATTTTCTGTGATGTTTAATTAGTATACAGATCATCTAGCTAATCAACATTGGATGGTGTACTAAATGTGATAACAATGAAATACTGCCAACAATTTTGTAATTAAAATACGCAGCTCTTTAATTCCCAACTTTAACTTTTCATTTATCAAAGTTCCCCATTAGATTTAATAACTGTTTTGGGTTTATCTAAAAAATGGACCCACTCTCAAACACATTAATCCAATCCAGTTAACAGAATTAGCACTTGTAAAATGTTTACCATTAGGCTTAAGCCACGGTAAAATGATAAAAACTTTACTGATATACTACATCATTATGACAAACACTTTAGTCTAGATTTGATATCCTTTAATTCATTTCTGATTTAAACCTTTCCTCAACTATTATTCTGATCAAACTGCCTCACGTCTGTTCCGAGATAACCCTTATTATCTCACAAAAACAAACAATGATCAGATAAGTTTATTTCCAATAGAAAAACAAAGCAGACACCATTCAAAGTATTTATTCAGTGAGCTGTGGTGCTTTCCAAAATCTTAAAAATTGAAGTTATTTTTTTTAAGGAAAAAGACAAAACCATTCCCTGGTCTATTGTAACATAATATCTTACCTTGTTACCCAGATCAACTTTCTTGGCCTCTCGGATGATGGCTTGCTCAATGTCTGAAATTAATTAATATAAAAGTAAGTATGTCTCTGTATATCACATTTCATATCCTGCAATTATCAATCAAAAACTTTAAAACACTTCATTGCAGATTTTCAGGACAGATGCTTGAACATGATGAATTGCAGCGATTTGAATATTGAGTGGAAAAACAAAATAGTGGAAAAGGTGTTGATGTCAACTTACTACTGTAGATTCTATCTGTATTCAATATTGTTATTCAGATAAAATGTCAACTAAATGGACACTTTTAATTCAGATATAACAATAATTTAACTGCTGGTTGAGTGTGCGAGCTGTAAAGATACTGACCAATATCTTCATTAGATTCTGCTATAGCATTTTCTGCAGCTTTCTTCAGTTTTGCCCACTCTTGCTTTGTCAGATGCCTCCTATATTTAATGACTGGTTTCACCATCACTTTTCCGTCAGTGCTTTGGAGTTTCCCATCTGTTCCAGTTGAATCAACATCAAAGTCTTCATCACTGTTAATGTCTTCTCCTGTACAAAATGACACACCTTTTTTAGCTATCATGACAAATCTTTATAAATCTAATAACTACCTCAGATATATCATGTTAATCACCTATAGCACAGTAATTGATGCATTGTTGTAACTTTTAGCCACAATTAATTCTGAAGGATAAAAGGTTTTAGACTTAAATTCATATTTAAAGCTGAATTCCAGCTCGTTTTAATTTTTTTTGTTTTTTGTTGTCTTGACTTGAGTGAATGCCGGCTACTTACCCCATCCATCTTGGTGGTCAGACCATGCTACCTTTTCCACCTTCTCCTCCTCAGACTTCTGACTCTCCTCCACTGGTTTTTCATTAGACTTTTTATTACCGTCTTCTTTTGGTGCACTAAATTTACACAAAAAATCCTTGATTACATGCCATCAATATAATTTCACTTTCATAGTTTAGAATTACTCCATATCACATACCAGGTATAAGAGTCCAGGTACTCTTTCCCAAATATGAGAGATGCAAAAATTCCCCTAATATCCTCATAATGCTCGCGTATGAACTAAATCTTCCATTTATACAACATTGGGCCAAAGGATGCTCCATGTGGAATAATCTTAAAATACCCATTTAACCTTTTGAATTTTTTTCCCCTATCTACTGTTGAGAGAAGTAACCGCCACGTATACAAATCATGTCCCCCTTCACCATCAATGGTTCAAACCTCATTTGATTCACAAACCCCTTACTTTAATGAATTAGTGGGATTCTAAATGACGAGGAACAGATGTTGGGTGTCAATGCAAAGAAAAACTGACTGGAGTATCCATATCATGGAAGCTTTTATCTCATCTGAAGGTACACTGTACAATCATTTAAGAGTACTTACTCCTTTGTTCGTTTGCGAGCTGCATCCAGTGTTGACTTCAGTAGTAAAATCATGTCCTTATCTTCAGCATTGTTGTCTCTGTGAGATAATTCAAAATCAGATCAGTAAAACAAATTTCACAAATATCACAAATATATTTATATCTTATGTCATGAATGTTAGTGTAGATAGTAAGTGTGCATGTCAAGAGCAAACAATTAAGTGTATACATATTTTTCTCATCTATGTTACAGGATAGACATGGTCAACACTATGTGATAAATATGTCCTCCTCTTCCATCCAATAAAAAGACAGAGACATCCAAAAGGCAGTCAGATCAAATTATGTATAAACATAACCTTTTATTGGCCATTATCTCTTCAAGTTTCAATGACAGCGTCTGAAAATAATAACAAAAATATCATAAAAAGGAGATTTAAAATGAATAAAATTACTATGATGTATATCATATCATATCACTTTACATACTGTTAGTCTGTCATTCTTTTTACTGACCAAATCATACTAATATGAGTTATGGTCAGTGACTTCTACAGATATAAACACAAGTAATAACAAACCTTCTTAACACTGTTACCAATCACAATACATTAAAAAACACTGCCTCCGAGGACACGATCTTAAAATGGTGAATATCTCATTGTACTTCATTTTGTCCACAGAGTATATTAGAATATATCATTCATTATATATAGAGATAATGCTTGAAAAGTTAGTTTTATTTTATCGTGTATAAAGATCACATAAAAATAGTGCATCGTAATTTATCATATACAAACATTATGTTAAAAAATTTCATTGTATTTTATTTTGTACCAAGCCTAAATTAGAATATTTCAATGATCCTACCTTGATGAGCCCATCAGCTGTTTCACTCTGCCTTCCTGTTTTGTCTGAAATATCAGAAATTTTCTGCATCTTTTTTTTCATAACATGTATCTGGAATACTGATATCAAATGAAGAATGCTATTATGCAAATGATTATGTTAAATAAGTCCAACATATGTATCAATATACTTTATCATATTGTTATACTGTAATAAATAGCTAACTATAATTACTATTGTTGTACTGTAAATAACACTTTTAAACTCTTATTCATATTGTAATTAATATTGTTACACTGCGATTAATATTGTTAAACTATAATAAATATTTTTAAACTGTAATTGATATTGTTGTTATATTATAACTAATATTGTGAAACTTTATAAGTTTTCTTCTATTTTCATAATGGAATAAAATCATAAATATAGAGGACCATTGTCCATTCAAGATGTCTGTGAAAAATGACAAGTTTTTTTCAAGCTTTTGGTAAAGTATGAAAAGTTGAACCATCAAAATAACTACAACATGCAATGTATGACACATGTTTATTTTAGAGAAATTCCCGAGAATTATCACATACTTGACATTTTGAAATGCCTTTGTAAATATTTCTTTTAACATCAAATTTTGTGAAAAATGAAGATTAACTTTCTATTTTGTTAAGACTATTTGGAGCAAACTGCAGTAAATTCATTATAACTAGCTTTGCCAGCTATTCAATTTTTAATAACCTGAATAAAATAGAAATTTAATTCTTATGAGAAAACATGCAAGTTTTCAAATATTGCTCTTACCAGCAGAGTTAGTGGTTGAAGATTCTGCAGCCATGTTTGCAGGAGATTTTGCAGCAGCTCTGCTTGCCGGTTGTGCCGCAGACTTCACAGCAGCACTGCTTGCCAATTGTGTAGCAGACTTCACAGCAGCAGTGCTTGTCGATTGTGCCGCAGACTTCACAGCAGCACTGCTTGTCGATTGTGCTGCAGACTTCACAGCAGCACTGCTTGCCAATTGTGTAGCAGACTTCACAGCAGCACTGCTTGTCAAATGTGCTGCAGACTTCACAGCAGCATTGCTTGTCGATTTTGCTGGAAACTTCACAGCAGCACTGCTTGTTGACTGTGTTTGCTTTGCACCAGCACTGCTTGTCAATTGATTTGGCTTTGGAATAGAATTGCTAGCTGACTGTGATGAAGACTTTGGAGCAGTTGATTGTGTGGAAGACTTAGAATCAGCATGGCCTGATCGGGAAGTAACATTAGAAGAGGATGTGGTGGTCAACTGAGATACAGATTTAGAGGCAACTTTACCAGGTAATTGTAATTTCTGTTCAGCATCTGTTTTTTTAGTTGACTGTGATGCTGATTTTGGAGCACTTTTTTCATTAAATTGAGATTGTGACTTTGAATGTGATGTAAACTTAGACCCTGGTTCACTAGTTGTATCAGATTTTGAATGAACCTGTCCGATGTTAGATCTTTCCCTTGTTTTTAAAACTTGTCGATTTCTATCAGAGGGAGATTTCAGTTCAGAATCCCTTGTCTCAGACTGCCTCTTCGACCTGCTTGACATTCTATCAGATTCCTTGTTTGCTTCCCTTTGGCCACCACTTAAACTTGATGCAGAACCCACCTGATTGACAGGTGTGGTACTAATGGTTTGCTGGTCTACTGATTGACCTGTTTAATAAAATGAAAATAAATCATTATGTATTACTAAAGCAGGGCCTTCATTTATCCAAATACTGTATCAAAACATAAATTAATGGCAACTGTGGTTGATTTCTTCATACAAAAATCCAAACATATCTGTATTTCATTAAATCAGACCATATCTAAATTTTCTTACTATTAAAACTTGAGTCTGATCACCTTGATGCACAACATTGATATAAAAGTTAAATGCGCTATATGATTAATGAATGACTGATTAGTGAAATGAGATATATGAGTTTGCTAAGAGGCAGTTACGTTACTTTCAATGTACAGTATAAAGCAGGAAATCAATCTGTGAAAAAAGGTAGTACCCACCAGCTGTTAAAGCCTTCAAAATCATCTTGCCCACTGCAGATGATGACTGTCCATGTCCTTTGTCCCTGTTTATGAATTATACAAATCAGTAAACCATGCATCCTTTAATACAGTATGTAAGGCTTACAGAATCTGCCCCCACTTTGAGGAATGACACTGCAAATCTCAACCCATGGAGTATGAATTAGAAATTTTCAGTTGAAGTTTGCTAAGGACTGAACACTTTGAATCTTGACCAGAAGGTTTGCTACTATATCAACTACCTACTCACTGACTCAGGGGTCGAGTTCAAAGTTGAAATTTAAACCATGACAAATATACAAATGATATACAGTGGACCCGCACTAGTCAGAATGCCAGTACCTGGTATTGCTAAGATCTAGAAGGAAATGTAAGAGAATGATTTTCTACAATGAATATTATTCTCACTTGTTCAGAATATCAGTACACAGAATCATTTTAAATCCTTAAATTACTTTTTAGGATCTGTAATTTATGGAATCATTGGGCTTGTACACATCCTTATCTAGATTTTGACATTTTTTCTTTTGATCATTTTGGATTTTCCTTAGTCACCTCCTGGACTTCAAAATTTAGGAAAGTAGCATCACTGGTGTGTCCTGGCAACACAAAACAATTATATCATGCAATTTCATTCACTTGCCCTATTCTAAATTTGTTTTAAGAGGTGCTATTCACTTGTGAGTCTTTTGTACAACTTTCTTGAGAATCCACTAAGGGTTCACTGGGAAATTGGTACAGATGCTTTTACCTAAAAATTGTCAGGGCTCCACTTCTTTCCTTCAGAAGTTATTTACACTGATTACAGCTATTTGCAGGCAACACGACAACAAAAGAAGTAGATGAAATTGGCAGAATTGTAGCTATTTTAGATATTTTTAGCCAAGATCACAGCTGTGTCTGGAAGCTGAGATTGCCAACCTGGCGACCACTGGTAATTATTAGGGATAACCAGCTGAGGTATATCACCCTTATGGTAGAAACCTTAGGGAGATGGGAAATGTGTTTCCATGAAGTTGTCATCCCCCTCATCCCTGGGTTCCTTCTTTTGAGAAAATTATTTTGAAGCTGATTTCCATCTAAAGGGAAACAAATCTTATCAAAATTTACCATATTCTGGAGTAGTGGCTGGATCCTTGCAGTTGCTGAAGATTTATCTGACCAGCAGGCAATGAGGACTCTAAGACTGAGGATGATTGGAGCGGACAGACCTTTATTGATGGGAATGGCTAAGGTAGTGAGCCCCCTTAAGCTGATAGGATCTCATGATGAGACAATTACAGACAGGCATTGAAGCTGTGCTCTTTGAAAAGGCAACATTTTAACCTGTTTATTCTTGATTAATTATCAATTAACCTACACAGAGAGAAACCTTTAGAATTACAAATTCCCTTAAGAGCTTCGATGAGACACAATGTAACCATGTGAAGAGAAGCCTCAGGTATGATAAACTTTGATGAAATACAACACTGTATCCGTTGATCTTTATAATTGGTATCTAATGGAATATCCACTAGACCATAACTTGAGGTTTGAAACTGTAATTGTACACATGAACTCTTCCTCTACCTAAGGATACATGAACTCAATGTGCCTTGACTTCAGGTTCAGAAATTGTACCTTTACATATTTTATGTTCATGTTCCTCTACCTGAGGATTCCATGACAGCCAGCAGCAGCTACCTCTACCTGAGGATTCCATGACAGCCAGCAGCAGCTACCTCTACCTGAGGATTCCATGACAGCCAGCAGCAGCTACCTCTACCTGAAGAGCTGTTTTGGCCTTCTCCCCTTTCTTTAGGCATCAAATTAAATACCCACTAAATTTTAACATGGCATTACAAACTTATCTAATGTACAAATGGTATATCCTGAGGATGAGTAATTCCAGTCAACCCACTGGGCCCTTTCTCAATGTTCCTCTTCTTGAGGATTCCATTGGGGCTATCTTCAGATTTCTCTATCTGAGAAAGTTTTGGGGCCTCTTGCCACCTCATTGTGGCTAAGACTGTAACACTTTAAGGCAGCTGAGGACTACTAGAAATACCACTAAAACTACAAACATTCGACAGTTGGAATCTGCCACCTAGTTACCTATGGATGTTTAGTGGTGTTTCTATCACATGGGTTTATACATCTACATAATAGGTATCGCAAGGCAGGAAATGCTGAAATTGTGATAGAAATATACTGAACTATCCAGAGTAGTAGCAAATGTCAATCACATCTGCAATATGTGTTCAGAGTTAGGAAAAATGGAGGAAATGTCAGTGAGATTGTTTGTATATAATTAATCTTTCACATCATGTTCAAATGTACAGTCAGTACATGTATTAAGAATGGAGTTTGTCTCTGGATTTTTAATCAATACCTTGACCATGGTAATAGAATGTTATCTTCAGGCTCATTTAATTTGTTCGAGCTATCTTGGTACTCAATCACCAGTAGTTCAAGGAAATCATGACAGAATTGAAGCTGGTGAAAGATGTCCAATACTTGACAATCAATCCCAGTGAAAATTACCCTTACCTTAATCATGCTGTCTCGGTGATTATGTGATATTCATATTTTTTAAGTTGCTAGCTTCGCAAATTATAACAGAAATATCTATTTATAGCATCACTGATCTTTGCCTTGATGCCAGAAAGCTAATATGTTAATGAATTTGAGATATTTTGGCACTGAACCCCTGAATAAAGTTTCATGAAAAATCACAAAAGTACTGAAGTCGGTAGCATTTTTTAGATATAGTAATCTTAATAGTATCCTGTTTAAGATACCTTAATCAATGAAACCTTTCATTTAAAGGTTTATAAGAAAGGGGACAGTATTTAGTTTGTAGATTACCAGCTACAGCCTCCAACAATGGAGGCCATATGCCTAGAGAACTGTGTATGATATAAGTCATGAAGCTGAAGATGAAGCTGCATCAAGGCCACCTTGCTGCTTAACCTAACTTGACTGATAAAATATGCTAACTGAAGCACTGAGGTGAACTAGCTAGGCATGGCATCAAGAATCTAGTTCATGGGCACATCAGTGCAAAAGTGGCAGTTCATAACCGACTAGGAATAAGCTCTGTTGTTTGGGGTCAGGTGTACATATAGGTTTCCTTAGGTACCCATTGGCTTATTGCATTGGGTCTGCCCCTGGCTAATGGTGCTCAGAAACCAGAGTGCTCTGAAAATTCCTTTAAAAAATAGATTGAAGTGGAAATGGGTTTCAATGATGTTTCTTGTGCAGGAGAATGGCCTGTGGAGGCAATCAACCTGAGCTGTTCAGAGGAGATTCATTGTCTCTTTCGAGATCCCACAGGAATAAAGTCCAGTTTGAAGAAACTGGGAGAACAATCACCAAGTGCATCATCTCCATCCAGAGAAAAATTCTGTTCAGGGTCACAAAAAGGAGATATCTGAGAGACAGTCTGCTGCCCTTTTTGGGGCCTCTTCCTTTTCCTCAATCTATGGCTCTTATTAGCTGCACTCGTGTTAATCAATGGTAGTACACTGTCCATATCAATTGGAAAAGGGGCCACATCTCCCATTTCATCACCTGCCTTCAGGGAAAAATTTTGAGTATGGACAATAAAAGGCGGTATTGGGGGGACAGTTTGCTGCCTCCTTAGAGACCTCTTTCTCTTTCTTGACCTGTGGCTCTTTTTAGCTGTATTCCTATTGGTTAATGGAAGTACATTGTCTGAATTGATTGGAAAAGGGGCAACATCTCCAACTGCATTCATGGAAAAATTCTGTTCAGGAACAAGAAAAGGAGACCCCTTGTGTGGCCTCTTTCTCTTCCTGTGTCTCTTTTTAGCTGCATTCCTATTGGTTAAGGGAAGTACATTGTCTGAATTGATTGGAAAAGGGGCAACATCTTCTATTTCATCACCTGCATTCAGAGATAAAATTTGAATAGGGCTAATAAAAGGAGATATCCGAGGGACGGTTTGCTGCCTTTTTTGGGTCTTCTTCCTCTTCCTTAATCTATGGCTTTTTTTAGCTGCACTGGTATTAGTCAAGGGAAGTGCAATGTCTGTATTGTTTGGAAAAGGGGTAATATCTCCAACTGCATTCATGGAAAAATTCTGTTCAGGAACAAGAAAAGGAGACCACTTGTGTGGCCTCTTTCTCTTCCTGTGTCTCTTTTTAGCTGCACTGGTAGAAGTTGTGGGTAGTATAATGCCCTGTTTGATGGGAAAAGGGGCGATATCTTCCACTGTACTCTGGGGAAAACCCTGTTCTGTAATAAGAAAAGGAGATACTTGAGACTGCTGCCTCTTATGGGACCTTTTCCTTGATTTGTGATTCTTTTTAGCTGCATTCCTACAAGTGGAGGGAAGTAGGTTCTTCTCTATTCCAAAATGGATAATGCCTTCATTGGCAGAAAAGGGAGTCTTGGTTTGCACTCCCTGTATAGGAAACAAAAGAGATGGAGGCTCAAATCCAACAATGTTATCATCGTCCATTACTGAGAGTGCGACCAAAGAATGGAATGCTGGTTCCATCAAGTGAGTCAAAGGAGTCAAGGGAAGCAAAGAGGGTTTAGGCTCTTTTAAGGGAGCCAAAAAAGATATGGGGTCCACTTGATGTGCTAAAGGTGACACAGGCTCTTTTAAAGAAGCTAAAGTGGGGTCAGACTTCACAATATGAACTAAAGGGGGCTCTGATTCCATCAAAGGAGGTGAACGAGAGTCTGGCTCCATAATTTGAGCTAAAAGGAGCTCTGGCTCCACCAAAGAAGATAATGGAGGGTCAGACTCCACAAAAGGAACAAAAGGGGGCTCTGGCTCCATTAATGGAGCCACCTCATTCATCTCCCTTGGCAGGTTGTCTACTTCCTCATTCTCCTCTATATATTCTTTGTTTTCTCTATTTGTCCTGTGGAAGTAAAGGTACATCATACCACTTCATTAGCAGTGATAGTCTATATAGATGAGCTCTATCAATGTGCTCCTTTAAACATATCTCCCTTTTGTATTCCATCCACTCAATTTTGAGGTTTGGAAGAACACAGGGATGTTTAATCTACCCATGGGCTTTAGTTTATCCTACATCCTTATCCTATAAACTCTCTACTGAAGAACGCATCTGCCTCATATTTTGTCTCTTAGTAAAGGGAATTTTTAGTCTCTTGCCTCTCTCAGACTTAATAACTAGGATCTTTGGGAAACCCTAACTTATGACTGCAGAGCAAGCTGAGAAAGTGGGTGGGGAGAGAAAGTAAAAACTCATGGGGTAAGTTAAGATCCAAGGTTAAGTTCTGAATCTCCTGCCCTAGTTATATACATTACTCCAAAGTAAGTTGTGATCTCAGTATAAGGTGTGACCTCTGTATAAGTTGTGATGTTAGGATAGGTTGTGTCCCCAGAATATATATGTTTGACCTTTAGATATTTTGAGATCCTATGATATCTTTAAAGTTAAATATGCTGTAACTCTAGGAAATCTTATTACCCTTGATAAGTTGTGATGAGTCACACTTCTAATTGTCAAACTATGTATGGAAGCTACCCTTCTCTCTTTGAGAAAAATTTTATTTCAGTTTGAAGTCTTATTTACTAGTCATGGGTATACTACCTAAACTGCCATGTTGACTTCTGACTTTTTCTTGGTAAAGCTCTATAAGGTTAACTCACACAATAGTTAGAAAGCAAAAGCAGATAAAGAATGGAGAGATGCAAATGCTATGTCAAAGCAAAGCTACTTTCCTTCTGGGCAGGCACACAAACAATGTTCAGTATGTATAGTAAAACCCTATTATCATGATATTGGATGTTCTAATATTTCCAACATAAATTTAGTGAAAAAACCCTGTTTTAAAATATAAGGTAATAAGTTTTTTTAACTGTTTAGAAATGGTTTTTATATAAGATTTAACCTTAAGCATGTGTCTACTTGATGCCTAGGCTGTTCTAAAGTCACTTAGCCCCACCTGGGCAGGCAAGTTTTCACATTTCACAATCCGCAAACTTTGTTTTGATTTAATAGTAGGTTTGACCCTAAGTATGGTCACACTTTCAGTTCATGTGACCTACAGTTTGCTTGCTTGTTATTATTCCTGATTATTCCATCTTTTTCCAGGAAATTGAATATTGTGATACTTTGGTTCCAATATATTAACTTGGATTGTTCTGAAACATGTTGACTGGTAGGGTAGTTTCTGTGGTAATTAACTTGAGCTACACAATAATTGTACGGTGGGTTCCAGGGCCTTCAACTTTAGCTAAACATTGATTTGTAAGGTGGATTCCACAATAATTATCTTTAGTTAAACATTAATCTATAGGTTGGGTTACAGGGTAATAAAATGTAGCTACACAATGATTCGTAAGCTGGATTCCACGGAAATAATCTTTAGTTATACATTAATTTGTAGAGTGGATCACAGGGTAATTAGTTACACATTAATTTGCAGAGTGAGTTCCAGATTAATTAACTTTGGCTATATATTGATTTGTAGGATGGATCACAGGGTAATTATCTTAAGTTACATATTAATTTGTAACAAAGGTTCCAGAGTAATTAACTGTAGCTATACATTAATTTTTAGGGTGGATTCCAGGGTAATCAAATTTAGTTACAACTTAATTTTTAGGGTGGATTCCAGTGTAATCAAATTTAGTTACAACTTAATTTTTAGGGTGGGTTCCAGGGTAATTAAATTTAGTTACACATTAATTTTAGGGTGGGTTCCAGGGTAATTAAATTTAGTTACACATTAATTTTAGGGTGGGTTCCAGGGTAATTAAATTTAGTTACACATTAATTGGTAGGGTGGATTCCAGGGTAATTATCTTTACTTACACATTAATTTGTAGGGTAGATTCGAGGGTAATCAAATTTAGTTACACATTAATTTGAAGGGTGGGTTCCAGGATAATTAACTATAGCTACACAACGACTTTCAGGGAGACTGGAGAGCTAATGATCTTACCTCACTCTTGACTGCATCACATCCAATGCTGACTTGAGTAATGTTATCATGGCTTTATCATCTCCTGGTCTAGGTTTCCTGTAAATGTTAATTAATTACATACCTCTAACATGTCATAGAATTGATATACATGCACCACACCCACTAATATTCATTGTTATCTGATACAAAATAATCAGTACTGAACATCAGAACTCGTTATCAGCCTTGTAACTAATAATTAACAACAGAACTCGTTATCAGTCTTGTAACTAATAATTAACATCAGAACTCGTTATCAGCCTTGTAACTAATAATTAACATCATGACTGGTTATCAGCCTTGTAACTAATAATTAACATCAGAACTCGTTATCAGCCTTGTAACTAATAATTAACATCAGAACTCGTTATCAGCCTTGTAACTAATAATTAACATCAGAACTCGTTATCAGCCTTGTAACTAATAATTAACATCAGAACTCGTTATCAGTCTTGTAACTAATAATTAACATCATGACTGGTTATCAGCCTTGTAACTAATAATTAACATCAGAACTCGTTATCAGCCTTGTAACTAATAATTAACATCATGACTGGTTATCAGCCTTGTAACTAATAATTAACATCATGAACTCGTTATCAGCCTTGTAACTAATAATTAACATCAGAACTCGTTATCAGCCTTGTAACTAATAATTAACATCAGAACTCGTTATCAGCCTTGTAACTAATAATTAACATCAGAACTCGTTATCAGCCTTGTAACTAATAATTAACAACAGAACTCGTTATCAGCCTTGTAACTAATAATTAACATCATGACTGGTTATCAGACTTGTAACTAATAATTAACATCAGAACTCGTTATCAGCCTTGTAACTAATAATTAACATCATGACTGGTTATCAGCCTTGTAACTAATAATTAACATCATGAACTCGTTATCAGCCTTGTAACTAATAATTAACATCAGAACTCGTTATCAGCCTTGTAACTAATAATTAACATCATGACTGGTTATCAGCCTTGTAACTAATAATTAACATCAGAACTCGTTATCAGCCTTGTAACTAATAATTAACATCAGAACTCGTTATCAGCCTTGTAACTAATAATTAACATCATGACTGGTTATCAGCCTTGTAACTAATAATTAACATCAGAACTCGTTATCAGCCTTGTAACTAATAATTAACATCAGCACTCGTTCTCAGCCTTGTAACTAATAATTAACATCAGAACTCGTTATCAGCCTTGTAACTAATAATTAACATCATGACTGGTTATCAGCCTTGTAACTAATAATTAACATCATGACTGGTTATCAGCCTTGTAACTAATAATTAACATCAGAACTCGTTATCAGCCTTGTAACTAATAATTAACAACAGAACTCGTTATCAGCCTTGTAACTAATAATTAACATCAGAACTCGTTATCAGCCTTGTAACTAATAATTAACATCATGACTGGTTATCAGCCTTGTAACTAATAATTAACATCAGAACTCGTTATCAGTCTTGTAACTAATAATTAACATCAGAACTCGTTATCAGCCTTGTAACTAATAATTAACATCATGACTGGTTATCAGCCTTGTAACTAATAATTAACATCAGAACTCGTTATCAGTCTTGTAACTAATAATTAACATCAGAACTCGTTATCAGTCTTGTAACTAATAATTAACAACAGAACTCGTTATCAGCCTTGTAACTAATAATTAACATCATGACTGGTTATCAGTCTTGTAACTAATAATTAACATCAGAACTCGTTATCAGCCTTGTAACTAATAATTAACATCATGACTGGTTATCAGTCTTGTAACTAATAATTAACATCATGACTGGTTATCAGCCTTGTAACTAATAATTAACATCAGAACTCGTTATCAGCCTTGTAACTAATAATTAACATCATGACTGGTTATCAGCCTTGTAACTAATAATTAACATCAGAACTCGTTATCAGTCTTGTAACTAATAATTAACATCAGAACTCGTTATCAGCCTTGTAACTAATAATAAACATCATGACTGGTTATCAGTCTTGTAACTAATAATTAACAACAGAACTCGTTATCAGCCTTGTAACTAATAATTAACATCATGACTGGTTATCAGTCTTGTAACTAATAATTAACATCATGACTGGTTATCAGCCTTGTAACTAATAATTAACATCAGAACTCGTTATCAGCCTTGTAACTAATAATTAACATCAGAACTCGTTATCAGTCTTGTAACTAATAATTAACATCAGAACTCGTTATCAGCCTTGTAACTAATAATTAACATCAGAACTCGTTATCAGTCTTGTAACTAATAATTAACATCATGACTGGTTATCAGTCTTGTAACTAATAATTAACATCATGACTGGTTATCAGTCTTGTAACTAATAATTAACATCAGAACTCGTTATCAGCCTTGTAACTAATAATTAACATCATGACTGGTTATCAGCCTTGTAACTAATAATTAACATCATGACTGGTTATCAGTCTTGTAACTAATAATTAACATCATGACTGGTTATCAGCCTTGTAACTAATAATTAACATCATGACTGGTTATCAGCCTTGTAACTAATAATTAACATCATGACTGGTTATCAGTCTTGTAACTAATAATTAACATCAGAACTCGTTATCAGTCTTGTAACTAATAATTAACATCATGACTGGTTATCAGCCTTGTAACTAATAATTAACATCAGAACTCGTTATAAGTCTTATAACCTATACTTAATGTGTGGACAGGTTATCAGTCTTGTAAACAGTACTTAACACCAGGAATGGTTATCAGTATTGTAACAAATACATGAAGTCTGTGCTATTTATCAGTTCACTTACTCTTGTGTGTGTCTGGATACTACATTTTTCAGCTGTTTTGCAAGTTTCTGAAAATAAATTAATAAAAGATATTAAGCATAAATATTTTTACACAGCGTTAATCGCGATTAATTAACAAACAGATTTTTGTTCATCAAATAAGATTTAAATGTTTTACTGACCTTGGGAGCTATCGGATATTGCTTAACTTTCTTCTTTGCAGTTTGTCTGTTTTCTCTTTTAAGATGTTGTTTTCCTGAAATAGTAAGAAACAAGATAAATCACAATAAATATGTATAATAGTGATCATCATTATCATTGTTTATCTAAGAACTGTCAATGCCTCAAACTGTGAAAAATAACACAAAGAAATAGGCTCAATACTAAATATATTAGGAGAAGATGGGGTATCACAGTAACAACAAAAAAGACAACTGCACAAGGAGCAAACCATTAAAAGGCTGCCCATCATCTATCATTTAGGGAATAAGAGTGACCTATGTGTGAAATTCAAGAAAATTCCATCAAGTACTTCTCAAGAAATAGCGATAATTAACTTTCATGGTGAAAATCCACAACAGTCGCCTATTATTCATTTTGTTTTTTAAATCAGTACAAAAATCAGAACAGCACAAGTAGGGACCAGGAGGAACTTACACATGAAATTTAAAACAGATCCATCCCATAGTTCTCAAAAAATAGTGATAAAAATTGTTCATTGTCAAAATCTGAGATGGTCACCTGTCAGTCATTATGTATTTCCTATCAGTCCCACAAATGGCAATGAGAGACAAATGCCAGATGGTAAACCAGGTCAGCTAACTATGTCTGTCGAAATTCAAGATGACCACCTCTTAGCCAAGTTGTTTTGCCAATTAGTCATAAATGCACTAAGCACAACTTGGGACCAAGATGAACTTACATATGAAATTTGAGAACGACTCATTTATTACTTCTCCAGAAAAAATAATAACAAGAATTGTTTAAGGAAGGACAAAGGGCTGACAACTGTGGAAGAGGTATTAGAGTAGTCCACCATAAAAAGAACTGCAATTTTACTATATTTCTCAACAAAATTTTTCACTTATTTTTTAATTCAATATCAGAAAACATTTTCTATTGATTACCAATCTTTGTATACATCTCAAGATCTGAAGATCTGAACAATAACAATGGTTCCCAGATTAATTATCATCTGACTTTCATTCTAAAAATAATATGAAATCAAACACAACACCCCAGATCAGGTCTCAATGTGTTAACTTTGTAGCATGAAGAATACCTGATTTTCTCTGTCTAGCTGACTGGGCTGATCTTTGACTAGCTGTTTTGGCCGATGCCCTTTCGTTATCATTTACACTGCCCTTCTGGTCTTCCCTACTCCTGCTATGAGAGCGATCTGAACTGCCTTCGTGTCTGCGATGGTGCCGATCATAAGTTTGCTGATTATGCTGACGATCACGTTGGAAGTCCCTTCGGTCAACAGATCCACTTCTCCCTGGCCTGTTTTCTAAAGGTATATTTGCGGAATGAGGGTCACGTCTGTCTCCCTCGAGAGGCATACCTGGCTCCATGTTGTGGACCATTAGCTGAATAGGCTGTAGCGCATTTGGATCCAACATGACTGGAACACCACCACCACCAGTCACAGGGATGTCTGGCATACCTTGTTGTATGACAGATGCCATGCCTGGCGGTGGCATCATACCAGGCTCTATGAATAATGGCCCTGATCCCTCAGGTGGTCCCATCGGAACCATGTGCATGTCAGGTGGTCCAGATATAGGTATGTCTATAGTAATATAGAAACACCATTCTAAAGTGTCATGCAAATATAACCACATTTAAATCTTTAATGAAGGGTTATAAGAAGGCACCAACATTCTAATTTAAAATGAAATTAATTGCAAAGCAGAAGTGTAAAATTAGTTTCCTTTCTGGATTTTTCATCTTATCTTGTAAGTGAACTAAACACACAAAAACATGTCTTCATTCAAGGTAGATTATTGATGATTTAAAAAACACAACTTTTTTTACCCTTTATATCCACTTTCACAAATTATATAAATATCATATGATTTTACATGAGATTTCACTTTATATGTGTTTCATATTCAATGAAAGTGGAAATCATGTAATGAAAAAACAAATCCATTGAAAGTTTCAACCATTATAACAATTTTCTTATCAATGTTGACCTTGACCTTAGCACCCTAAAGCAATAACTCATCCATGGTATTTTCCTTAATACTGGAGCTGTAAAAATAATTTCAACAGATAAGCCAGGTAGTTGCTACAGTAACGTTTATCTTTTGACAAGAACTAACAGAGAGAACATCATATATATATATGATCCTCCCATCAACAGCATGAAAAGATCTATGACGCAGCAAAACCTACACTTTGATCACTAAGCAGGGTCCCATATGAAACTGTACTAAAATTGAGCTATGATTGCAACTTGAAATATCTCTTTCAGTTGCTTGTGTAAGTACATTTTATACCTATCAAGTGACTCTAATGAAGCTGTTTTACCTTGGTTCATATCTTTCATGTCCTCATGTCTATTATGGTGGAAGCCACCTCGTCCTCTATCAAATCCCCTTCCTCTATCAAACCCTCTGCCACGACCTCGACCCCTGTCAATCCATCTTCCCCTGCCACGTCCCTTTTCTCTGTTCCTGAAATGATTACCATCATCATGGGGGTCATTGTTTGGTCCATGTTCCATTATCAATTCATCCTGAATGATCTGTGGCTGGTCAAGATGGACTAGAACCTGCTGCATGCCATCTGGTCCAACTGGGCCCAGAAGCTGAGGTTCCATTCCTGGTCGTATCATTATAGGTACACCTGGAGGCAGCATTTCAACAGGGGCCCCATCAGGTCCAATCAACACTGGTGCATCCTCTGTGTGTATCACATTGGGCATCCCCTGCTCCATCAACATTGGCTCACCATCTGAAAGTAAGAAAACATACACATGTGTACTCTGTACTCTGCTGAACGTTGAACTCTTTACACATTTTTACAAATGTTCATTAGTATCTAACAGTGAGCTTGAAATGATGAATAGGTACATATGTATTGTTTAAACAATGCCTATTCAAAACTCTGACATGTGTATTTGATTGGTATATAAAAAGTATCAAAATTGTGTCATGTCATGTTGTCTGAGTATGACAGAATTTAATTCTGATCATAATAATTTACATTATTGACAGGAGTCCTAATTTTTTCTATTCTTATTCAATTTATTACTGTTATAGCTTTATATGATTAAGTCTGAGGAAATACATCACCGATCTACAATACTTTGGTAAATGTGTATAAAACACAATTGTTTGTTGGATCATTGTCTTGCAAACAGTTTCTAGCTTCTATCACCCAGAATTGAAGTTAATCAGAAGAGTCAGAAAAATAGTTAATATAATATATGCATACCTGCAGGATGAGGTGAAAACCTACGCTCCCCTCCAGGACCTTGACTTCGATGTTCTCTAGGACTTGGACTTCGCTGACCTCTAGGACTTAAGCTTCGATGGCTTCCAAGGCTTAGAATATGATGATCTCTATCAGATCTGTGCCCCTCTTCTCTGTCAATGTCATGTCTGAAATGCCCTTGATCATGTTCCCTGTCTCTTCTATCGAATCTACCTCTCCTTTCAAAACCATCCCTTCTATCAAATCTACCTCTTCTATCAAATTCACCTCTTCTGTCAAAACCATCTCTCCTTTCAAACTCACTTCTTTCTACCCCACCTCTTCTTTCTAACCCATCCCTTCTTTCTAACCTATCTCTTCTATCAAATTCATTTCTCATTGGGTGTCTGTCATGGTCTTGGATATCTTGTTGATCATCATGGTGAAAGTCTTCTTCTTGGTCAGGGCTTACTTCTTGCCTATTAAAATCAGCAGCTCTATCTGGAAATTCATCCATCTGTCTGTTGGCAAAATCATCTGGAAAAAAGTGACCTTCTTCTGGACTGTGAATAAACTCAGGACGGTCAACGAATTGGTTATTACGCATGTCATCATGTCTATCATCTACAAATCGTTGATCTCGTCTATGCTCTCGTCTATGATCACTCTCATCCCAATTTCTTCTCTCATCTTCCATATCTCTTTGATTTCTATCCCAAGAGCTACCTCTTTGTGGTGACAGACTTCGTCGTCTGTGATGTCTATTCTCACTTGGAAGTCTCCTGTCTCCTTGCCATACATCCATACCATCCCGACCAGGTGAGTTTTCTCTTAAATGGTCTTCGATGTTTAAATGTTGTGACATACGATTTCCATGACCTTCCAGTTCTTCATTAAATGGCTCAGGTTCTCTCTGCCATTCTCTTGCTGAATTTGGAGACATCTGAAAATGTCTTTCACTACCGAAATCTGGACTTCTAGATCTGTTCCATCTAGCCCTTCTTTGTACATGGAATTGATCATCTTCAGGCAACATGTTGTTTTCCTCTATCATCATAGTTCTTTCCTCAGGTGTACCATCAAAAAACATTCCAGGAGAACCTCCCCTTTCAATTAATGGAGATCCCTCCATAACCTCATGAAACATTTCAACTTGATCCCAATTTTCTAAAAAACAAAAAAAGATTAGAAAAATCAGAAGGGAAAAAATCCTAATGCAGGGAACTTCACATACATATATAAGATTATTGTCATAACCAGTTCCCATCTGCTGATACTTATCCATTACAAGAACCATACTAACAAGTATTTTATTCTTGTTACTTAAGGATTTATGGATGAGTAATAAACACAAATGGTCTTGTTGTTATTTGTTGTAATAGCACCATCATTCAAATAAAATATCATAAACAAAGAACTGAAAATATGATAGGTACAGGACAGGGATGTATAATACGTATTATACGTCCCTGGTACAGAAGGAATATGTCCATGAAAAAGTGAATGTGATATGCCCTTATTCCCTTTTTGTTTAATGCTGTGTTTGTACAATATTTTGAGTTGTAAATTGAACAATAAGATTACTGGTATTTGATTTTTTTTTTAATACAGTGTTATGTTTGTTTGGTGAAATTGCCTATTTAGTCTTATTTGCTGTCAATGGGTCATATCAGAGAGAAACTAGAACTAATCATTTGCTACAAAAACTGATTCATAAGAACCCTAACTACAACCAATCAATTAATGTGTATAACTTGTCTCTAGTCAGACACTCTATTGCTTGACCAAAGGGAAATTCCCACTACCAAAGGCTAGTAAGTTCACCTAATCTCAACTCCTACGCTTCAAACTTCATATATTTCGTTAACATCTCTAAGGGAAAGTTTACCATTTCTCTGCGGGCTTCCGAAGTGTCCTTCATCTGGTTCAAAATCTCTATTCCGGTTTCTGTGATGAAAATTCCCTTTATTCTGTCCACGGCCCCTTCTAAATCTACGTCCATGACCCCTTCTCCAATTCTTGTTTACACCTCTGTTTTTATGGTTGTTACCCGACATGACTGACCAGGAAAATGTTGACACTGGATGATTATCTGAGAATCACATTCTTGTTTCTACAATAGAAAAGATCGTTAAATGGCGTGAAAAGAAAACATGTCAATGTAGACACATTTTCTGAATTTAACTATTTTTTGTAAATCCAAGTTGTTTTCAGTTGATTTAATGATTTAATAGGAAATTATTCTACAGAAACGATAGTTTGAGAAAGGTAAACAATGAGCAAACATCAAAATTTTGGGCCATTTATTCGTTCGTTTTTATTCCGCTGTGCATCTCGATGCCTCCTCAAAAACACTGTCAATACTCATAATTAGGATTAGTATCATATAATGAATGATTGAGGTTGGAAATTAAAGAACTACATTTGTACACGCACAAAGTGAGCTATTGTTACAAATGTGATGAGAGGATGAGAACATCTGTAACATGCTAGGTTAGATAGAGAAAAAACGATTGAACTAAAGGGCACTCAATTTTTTTCAAAATAACTTAAATTGTGCTTTATATAAATTCGGAAGTGCATTTTATAAAAAAGCAAAACACCAGCTGACGTTTTGGTGGAGACACTCAATACAGAAACGAATGTTCAAACTCACTCCACCATTTTGTACCGGATATGACAAATGCTTGATATCACCGTTCCGGATAGACGGACCAGTAATCCGGATTAACTGGCACACGTGTTAAAAATACACTTCCACAGTTTAGCTATACAACTTAAATGTCGTTTTATGTCGTAAATTACTTACTTACTAGTAAAACCCAGACAAACAAAAAAAAAAAAAAAAGGAAAAAATGAAAAAAAAAAAAAAACATAAGACAAAACAATTACAAACAAAAAACGAGCTTTTTGGGAATATCACAGGTCGCCTACTGATGACATATTTCATGTAAATACAAGTCTTCTTCAGTACATCGTCAATGAACAAGTCCACGAGCTACGTATACAACTTCTTCCATACATCCTTAATTAACACGTTCGTGAGCTACGTATACAACTTTTTTCCATACATCGTCAATGATAGTTAGGGGCACAGCTCTACTTATTAATTCAATTTAAGTGATATCACTAATTCAATTTAGTGAAGCATTTAACTGATATCAGCAAATCTGGCGATAATAAATATCACTAATTCGGCTAAATAGCAATAAATGGATTTAGTGGTATAAATTTCATAGTGGAATATAAAGTGCAATCGCACTTCACAACATTCCTACATTATGAACATGTCTCGTGGTACTATTGCTACACCAGCCAAATCATTTGCTGATTACCAATATAATCAAGATTATATTCGACCTGGTGATACATATTTAGTTTTAATTGAATTCCACATTTAATTGGTTGTGTGTATGCTGGAGCATCACCATCCCCAAATAATTGCAATATTACGAAATCATTGACTCCTCCTTGGCGGAAGAAAACTTTATGTTATCATGTAAGTGAAGAGACTGTGGTACCCCGGAAAGCTTTTCTTTGGAAAACTATTCTTCCAAAATGGTTTGTTATAATTGAACCAAATATATTAGTCCAGTTGTTGCAAGAGGGTAAAATAGTTCCGATTTGAAAATTGCGTATTCCACGAAGTCACCCCACAAGAGAAAATTGCTTAAACTCTCTGTTGTATATATATACAATCACTATTCGTCAATCCTGTATATAATTTCTTCTTACCACCATTTATAAAGAACTACTGAGAGCTTGTGAATGTTCTACGTAGGTCCTAGTTGTTCATATTGCAGTTTGTGCTTCACAGATCTTTCATGATGACCATCATACACCTTTTTGAATTTCGACATTTAAAGTTGGTTACTCGGCTTATTCTAAAGAACTAATGAAAGCTTGTAAAGGATCGTCATGTAACTTTACAGACGTGTTCAGTATATCCTAGTTGTTAATGCCACATTCATGATGACCACAAGGCATTATTTGCATCTTGACCTTAAATAACTGCTCATTGTGTTCGCCTTTAAACTTCAGTAATGGTCCTATTGGTTAATGCAATTCTTAGAGCTGTATTGTATATTCAAGACAGTCGCCATTTTGTTTTGAAACACAAGCTCATTTTGGGCCCTAGTCGTGCCTGCTGCATTTGGACTTCATCAAATAATTAAGATGCTGAATATGGCCATTTTGGAATTTTATATTTGAAAATTGTAATTCCCTTTTCTAAGGAGTCCAGGGATCTTGGAACAGCAGGAATGAGCCAAGTATGGGTCTTTATTGCCGAGTTCTGAGCTTCATCTGACATTCTAGATGGCACTGGTAGCCATTATGATGTTGATTGTGTATTCAAGATGGCAGTTGGAACTTTGGAAATAGATCTCGCTGTTAGCTATCTCTTTATCAGGTTGACAGTGATTGGACAGTTTCAAACAATTAGAACAATAAACTTTGAACATCATGGTTCATCACCAAATACATGACTACATAAAAGAAAAGAAAATATTAATCTTACAAAGTGATGTTTGCTGCCCAGATCCCTCTGGGATTTCCTATTGTACTCATCTGTAAAATAACCAATCCAGAAATGTCCCATCACTTTTCCAACTACATCAAACTCAAAGGCCATATTGACATACTACCAGACGGGTGAACAGTTTGCATACTGAAACTAATGGAACTGGAATTAAGCATTATTTTAACTGTTACAGTTACAGAACCATATGCCTCTCGTTAATGTTACCTCCTACAATCAATATATTTCTATAAATGTTCAAAGACATGCTCATGTCCTTTAGGCCTCTTTTTAAATGTGGAGATTCAAGATTTTTCCTGGTTCTATTTTTCTCTCGAGTGATTTATCACAAGCTGGGATGTTAATGTGGGCTAATGTGAGCACACTGTTTTGAGAATACATATTGTGGTATCAGTTTTTTAGTCCTTAATGTTCAGCAAATCTTCATTAAGATACTCTATTCTGATCTTGTATCTATTATTAGAGACCACAGTATAAGGTTAATGCGAAACTTTTATATGATTATACAAAGAAATAAAAGCAAGCATTTAAAACATTATATTTTATTGAACTTTCTCTATAAAATGAGTTGACAATACACAATATATTCCAGATGTCTGTAACACACAAAATATTGTTAAAGTTCTCCTAACTGGATTCTCAATCTAACTCCCATATAAAGCATTTCTGATGCAAAAGGGAGATAAATCTGCCAGTTCAGAGATGAATTTTAATAATTACATGAAACTTGTGTTTTACACATTCCACAATTGTAATCAGCTGGCAAAGCTCTGGCTAACATGTGTCAATTCCCTTAGACTGACTATATTAACTTAAGTATTAATGATATACCTCTGGAACTATCAGACCATTGCTATACCTGAAACAGCTCACTATCTGCTCTACTACAACACCTTTAAAAAACAACATGTAATGACAATACATAAAACAAAATCAACATGATTGTTCAAATGGATGGGTATGTTATAAAAGAACAACTTCAAGCTTAACAACATGCGTTTCAGCATTTCATTAGAACTACACTTAGAAATTTGAGTGATTATGAAAATAACAATATACTATTGAAAAACATATTTTTCTTCTCAGAATGTGTTGCAAAAAATTTCCAGTTTAGCCAAAAAAAAAGAATACAAGTACAGATTATTGATATATATTTCTTGATTTTTAAATGACAGAAATAAAACAGCTTGATCCATCTATGAATAGCCACACCAACAATATTTGTTACAAAACAAATTTGTTTCAAGTTGTGATGGAATTTAAAGTGTTGGAGTAATAAACTATTCTGGACAGCTGCTGTTATGACAAACATAGAAAATATGATCACACATCATAAGCTCCTTCCTTGTCAAATCAAGCAAATAATCCATAGGTCTGTAAAAACAGTCTACAATCTGCTGCTGGTGTTTCTGTAGAAGGTAAACCCACAAGATTCTAATTCGGCTGCTATTCCACACTCAACTATGTGATATGTTTCAACTAAACAAGAATTCAAACAGGTTGGCAGTTCTGAATTCTTTGAACTGATTACAATTCTAATCAGGAAATAAGAGTGTATCTAGTATTAACAAGGTATTTGTTGAAATTCCAGACTTCTAACTTAGTGCAATATTGTCTGAACCAGCAAAAGTGCAAAGATATGAAAAAACTCCATGAAATAGGTTTACTTACAGCAATTAATTTGCCTTCTGATTTCCCTGGCACAAATTAACTCATGATTTCTTAACTAAAATCTTATCATTTCAATCAACTTAAAGAAGGCTGCATGGGCCTCTTTTACCTTAATTAACACTTTTTCAAAAAGCTGCTTGGCTTCCATTGCTATTAAACAGAAGATTCAATAAAACTAATGACTGATGACAATAATCAATGATACTACACTGAAGAACAAGAGATCCAAGTATATCATTATGATTATTATTATTAGTAGTAGAACAGCTTAAAATGATTAAAACAGTTTGGAACAATTCACCAGTAACCTAAATAACTCCTCATTCACTAGTGGAACTGGAGAAGAAGTTTACAATTCTAAAAATTCCCCACTATGACACACAAGATATGATGGCTATAGCTTATCCTGCCTCTTCAGGTCAAATGACCTAAAAATGGCATCCTCCGATGAAGATCTCTGGACTACCATACTATAAAGAAGAAAAATGGCATTCTCCAATGTTGTCTCATTACTCTCCAGTTTCTTGTTTATCAACACTGATCAATAATATCCAGATCTGTAGTTTCCGTAGGAATCAGATGATGATCTGTGAGCTGTAATGATACAATAATTCAATATTTATTGATTAAGGTATGTGTATTGCATCTAGAGATATGTGGGGAAAATCTGACATCTTGTCTGTATGGGAATCTAAAGGAGAAACCAAACCTATGTGTTAGGTATTGTCACTATTCATCTGTTGTAACAGTAGTATGTCAATCCAGACAAGGTCTGATTTTTTACAAGTACTGCTCACACACACTCAAGGTTGTTACAGAAACTTGACTGCTGACTTGAGCATCACTATTGTAGAATTGATATCTAACTAATAAAATTCTGTTTTCAAAATTTCAGAAGTATTTAAGTTATGTGATAAACATAATTTATCCTATTAAAACCATTATACAAAGAAAATGTAACAATTTCTACTTACAGTAGTCATATGACTGTGCAGAAGACTTGTTACCATAGGAGGACCCATCTGAATAGGAACTCTGTGTTGATCCATATGTGTTACCTAAAATTGAAAAATTCATTCTTTTTAAATAAGATCAATCATTGGAATATCCCTTTTCTCCATTTCAAATCACTTGGGATCATCATTGAAAATTATAGTGAAGGTCACATATAAAACTGGGTGGTATGAAGACTGGTGGTGTGAGATGTGGTAGAGACTATGGGGGTTGTGGTAGGATGGTAGAGTGATAGATTGTACAGAGTTTGGTGGTGGTGTGAGGGCTTTTACAGAGTTTGGTGGTGGTGTGAGGGCTTTTACAGAGTAGGGTGGTGGTGTGAGGGCTTTTACAGAGTTTGGTGGTGGTGTGAGGGCTTTTACAGAGTTTGGTGGTGGTGTGAGGGCTTTTACAGAGTTTGGTGATGGTGTGAGAACTTTTACAAAGTAGGGTGGTGGTGTGAGGGCTTTTACAGAGTTTGGTGGTGGTGTGAGGGCTTTTACAGAGTTTGGTGGTGGTGTGAGGGCTTTTACAGAGTTTGGTGGTGGTGTGAGGGCTTTTACAGAGTTTGGTGGTGGTGTGAGGGCTTTTACAGAGTAGGGTGGTGGTGTGAGGGCTTTTACAGAGTAGGGTGGTGGTGTGAGGGCTTTTACAGAGTAGGGTGGTGGTGTGAGGGCTTTTACAGAGTTTGGTGGTGGTGTGAGAGCTTTTACAAAGTAGGGTGGTGGTGTGAGGGCTTTTACAGAGTAGGGTGGTGGTGTGAGGGCTTTTACAGAGTAGGGTGGTGGTATGAAGGCTTTTACAGAGTTTGGTGGTGGGGTGATGGATTATATACAGAAGGCTGGTGATGTGATGGATTATATACAAAAGGCTGGTGATGTGATGGATAGTAAACAGAAGGCTGGTGGGGTGATGGATTGTATACAGAAGGCTGGTGGCGTGATGGATTGTATATAGATGGCTGGTGGTGTTATGGATTGTATATAGAAGGCTGGTGGTGTGATGGATTATATACTGAAGGCTGGTGGTGTGATGGATTGTATACAGAAGGCTGGTGGTGTGATGGATTATATACTGAAGGCTGGTGGTGTGATGGATTGTATATAGAAGGCTGGTGGTGTGATGGATTGTATACAGATGGCTGGTGGTGTGATGGATTGTATACAGAAGGCTGGTGGTGTGATGGATTGTATACTGAAGGCTGGTGGTGTGATGGATTGTATACAGAAGGCTGGTGGTGTGATGGATTATATACTGAAGGCTGGTGGTGTGATGGATTGTATACAGAAGGTTGGTGGTGTGATAGATTATATACAGAAGGCTGGTGATGTGATGGATTGTATACAGATGGCTGGTGGTGTTATGGATTGTATATAGAAGGCTGGTGGTGTGATGGGTTGTATACAGAAGGCTGGTGGTGTGATGGATTGTATATAGAAGGTTGGTGGGGTGATGGGTTGTATATAGAAGGTTGGTGGTGTGATGGGTTGTATACAGAAGGCTGGTGGTGTGATGGGTTGTATACAGAAGGCTGGTGGTGTGATGGATTGTATACAGAAGGCTGGTGGGGTGATGGATTGTATACAGAAGGCTGGTGGTGTGATGGGTTGTATACAGAAGGCTGGTGGTGTGATGGGTTGTATACAGAAGGCTGGTGGTGTGATGGATTGTATACAGAAGGCTGGTGGTGTGATGGATTATATACAGGCTGGTGGTGTGATGGAGAAGGTTGGTGGTGTGATAGTGGTGTGGTGTGATGGGTTGTGATGGGTTGTATACAGAAGGCTGGTGGTGTGATGGATTGTATACAGAAGGCTGGTGGTGTGATGGATTGTATACAGAAGGCTGGTGGTGTGATGGGTTGTATACAGAAGGCTGGTGGTGTGATGGATTGTATACAGAAGGCTGGTGGTGTGATGGGTTGTATACAGAAGGTTGGTGGTGTGATGGGTTGTATACAGAAGGCTGGTGGTGTGATGGGTTGTATACAGATGACTGGTGGGGTGATGGATTGTATACAGAAGGCTGGTGGTGTGATGGGTTGTATACAGAAGGCTGGTGATGTGATGGGTTGTATACAGATGGCTGGTAGTGTGATAGATTGTATACAGAAGGCTGGTGGTGTGATAGATTGTATACAGAAGGCTGGTGGTTAGAGGTGGTGGTTTCATGAACTGTGAAGAGTAGGATGGTAGTATAATACCTTGATCATAATAGGAGGCACCTGTGCTAGACTGATCAGATGTTCCACCATAGTTTCCTCCTTAAACATTAAACAATATTTTTTTTTTTTTACAAATATTTACATCGCTATGTCTCAAGTAAACAGTATAATTACAAGTTATAAGACTATTACTCCACCACAGCTATATTTAAGCCACTTCAATTATGATTCATAAGATTACTACTTCTGATGGTGGCTATCTTATTTGCTTAAACAAAGATAAATACTTGAAGCAATCCAACTCTCACTACTCCAAGATTTTACCCTAAAGTGATGTTAATTGTATGACAAATGTATCATGACGAAAGTTACAGCTGTGCATTATAAAGATATGGAAGTGATATTCTTATAAAAGCAACTGTACAAAGCTTAAGTATGTTTTCAGAATTACCAAAATAATTGGAGCTTGATGAGCCACCATAACTAGGAGAGCTATCATAGTTGGATCCTGAGTTGTAACTGGAACCCCCGTATCCACTGCTGCTATCTCTGCTGCCGTAATTTCCACTTGTGGTACTAATGAAGCTTGTGTTACTACTACTACTACCACCACCATAGTTTCCTGATGATCCTGATCCGCCCCATCTATTCCCATTGGAATTCTGTTTCTTTTGTCTTTGACGTTGTTTCTTGTTTCCACCTGTTGCTCCTATATCAATACATGACATTGTCATCACAATTGTAAATAAGCATTTTTCATACAGACTTTTGAATTGTATAATGTGTCTATTTTCATAGCAATGATTTTCTTAATGTTACCAAGTCAGAAAAACAAAAGAGGAAAAGATTGTGAAAGGCCTTTCTTGATGAGAATAGCAAGATTATAAGTAGGAACACTGGCAGTTTCTATGAATGAAGTCTGATTTGTGAACATTAAATACATGTAATATCACCACTGAAGGTCACAGTTACTTACACACAACATCATCAGAGTGCCAAAGTTTGCCGACTGATTTAGAAGAGATACTTATTGACGAGTAATATGGTTTCACGGTGAGTTAAGTATTGTCTATATAATAACATATCACAAAATATGTTCCAAATTGGATCATTTCATTTCACGAATGGCTACAGGAAATAAAAGTGAAAAAAGTAATTTTGCTTTAAAGAGTGCATTTTAATACATCTCTTCAGACTCTTCAATTGTGGTGTAGCTACTATGCTAATTTTCATCCATCTTGAAATCAAATAAAATGCTGATGCTGCCATGTTATCAAACATACATTATAAAATGTTCTATTAGACTAAGTAAAGTCCAGTCTTGTACCTGAATTGGAGAAAGTGCTGGGTGGCATCATTCTACCGCTGTCTCTGTCACCTGAATCTTTGTTCCTTTGAAACATAAGAAAAAGAGAGAAAGTGAATAAATCGAAACATAAAACAGTTTTATACTATTCAAATTAAAATTGTTTCAAAACAAACATTTCTGTTCATGTATTTACAAATATCAAATCAATTCAAATAAACAAATGATCAAGGCGAGACCTTGATATGTCAATTACAACAACAGGCAATAGACTGCCTTGTTTTATTAGCCTTTGTACTTATGACATTTGTTATTGAGCTGCCTTTCAGGTACTTACGACATTCGTTTTTGAGCTGCCTTTAAGGCTGACTGTAGCATGGATACCATGTCTGAGTCACTGTCTTGTCCCATCCTGTAAGGAAATTCATAACACATCAATACTATTATCAAGCCCTTTTTAAGAAGACATTCTGACTCATTCATCTAAAATTTATTTCCAAATATTTTTTTTTCAAATCCGGTTTAACGTCGCCCTCAAACTTAAGATTTCACATTTGTAAACAAACATTAATGATCAAAACCACAACCAGTCTCTTATGAGATTAAATAAAGTTCACCTACCTCTGTTTAGATAATACAGTGCTCAGTTTTGAAGAGAGCTCCTGAAAGTAAAAGAATTTATGATACTTAGTATATTAAAAGCACATTGCTGCAGTTCTTTAAGAGATTCAACAACTACACTAAACATTCCCAAAATAAAGAAAAAGCAAATACCAGTCATATACATGGATCCTTTCTTTTTGTTTTAAAAAGCAGTAAAGGGAATGCATTTACATGGTGTTACATGTATAATGCTTACTTGCTAAAGGACCTAATGTCTACTAGAAGAAATCATTATAGTTTGATGAATTGTTACATTTCCAATGTGCTAAAAGAAACCAGTTTAAGAACATGTTAAATAAATAGGTACAAAATACTTACATCTGATGAGTTATCCCTGTAACTGCTTTGACCTGAAACAGAAATTATCATAACTGAAAAAAGGACCTTTTCTTTTAGTTACTCTGATAAAAAAAAAATGTTTTATATACAGTCCAAACAAGGGATGATTTGATTATTGTACAAGGAAAACTTTCCAGGCAGTATCCATGTTCATTAGTATACTTGTAACAAATAATTTATGACCTTGACAACCACACTAACCTTGATCTCCTGACCATTGTCCACCTCTGTCCATATTTCCACCTCGCTTGTTGTTGCGCTTGTTTTTCTGATTGCCCATATTTCCACCCATGTTGTTGAATGATGACATATTGCCACCCATATTGTTGCCCATCATGCCCATGCCAGGTCCCATACCCATACCACCCATGTTGCCCATATTGCCACCCATATTACCACCCATACCACCCATTCCACCCATCCCCATCATGTTGCCCATATTACCACCCATTCCCATCATATTTGGTACACTAGGTCCTACTCCTAGATTCATCATGGAATTTCCACTTCTTGGATTGCCAAGAATCGACATCCCCATACCAGATCCCCGCATATTTTTGTTTCGGTTTCCAAACTGAAATGATCCCATACCACCCATTGGACCCCCCATGGGACCCCCCATGGACCCGAGCCGCCTTTTTTTCTGGTTGTTATTCAGCTGCTGTATCTTTTGATTTTGAGCCTTTCTTTTCAAATCATTGGCTTTCATGGTTGCACTAGATTGTGACCCTGTTTTAGTCTTGTCTGAAGTAATCCCAACAGGCTTCGACTTGTTGGCAATTGGTGATTTGCTGCCTTTGTCTCCTGCTCCCTTGAAACCACCCTTGTTCTGGAACTTTCCTTTTCCTTTGAAGCCTTTACCTGTTTTCATAATAGAATTTATAAATCCAAGATTTGAATAAGGAAAAGGAAACACACAAGACCAGTCTAACAATGAAAAGGATCAAGATGCCATCTCAATATTCCCACTAGAAAGGGAGCTACGAAAACTTTCCTCCTACAACTAACAAGAGAATATAATTCACCCGTATAAAAGAATTTCACAATCAGGCCTGTTTCCTACAAGTTCACTTGAGAATGATGTATTTTTTTATCATTTGTTCATCCATGTTGTTAAACAGTAATACATGTATCAGATATTTGGATATGCTAGGAGATCTGTATGAAACACTTCAACTTGATCATTGTTTAGATTTTTACTTTGCGCTGAAGATGTCATCTTTGGTAAAATTTATCAGGTAAGAATGTTGCTACACTAATATTTCAATACAATACATTTTTTATCAATTGCCATCTTGTTTAATACAAAGTGTTTCAATCTCTCTCTCTCTCTTTTTGTGAAGTCTTCTTCCTTTACATATCACATCGATATATCAATGAATCGCTTTATTATAATGAAATTGTGCTGGGTAATTGATGACAAACCTAGCACTCTAAGCCAAATAAAAGCATAATTGTGTGATGAAAATGCTCTGAACAACTGTCAACATTTGCTTTGAATGTTTAACATTGTAAAAAAAAGTGTTTTACCTTTCCTCTCAAAAGGTTTCACCTTACAGACTGGGATTTTGCTCTCTTCGATCTCAATTTCCTTCTGACTCTCAAAGCTTTCTTCCATTTCTGTTTTAGTGCTGAATTCCATTACAGCCCATCTGTAAATATCAGTGGTTTTCACACTTAGCAATTTATTTCAAAATGATGATATAAACAATAAAAAAAATTTGAATAAGAAGTAACTTTGAAATAAAAAAGTAAATTTCATCATCAATAACATCATGAAAGATGATTTTTTTTGTTTACATTCATAAATGCATAAATAAAAATTTCATTGTAATAACTGTTGTAAAATTCACAGGTGTTGTAGTTTTACTTAGAGCAGAAAATACCAAGGTATCTAATTCACCTGGAAACAAACATATATTGTTAAATGCTGAAAACAACTCCCAAATCAATAATATCTCTCAAATTACATGAATATATTATGCTTGAAATGTTACAAAAGTAAGTGATATCATTTCCCCTCCAAAACACTTTGCAACTTTTATGAAAAAGAAACATAAAAGTTGACAAGACTGTCTTTCTATAGCCATACAGCTACCACCGATGCATAAATGAATTCACAAAATACTGTTGTTGCACGTATGTGGTAAAATCTCATACCTGGTCATTGTACTGGTATTTATTTTACAGAAACAGTATGCATGTCAGTATCTACATGCATATTAGTTAGTCATAACATGCACAATTGCATATTGAAAATAAAAATAAGATGAAGAAACAAAGTCATCGTTCAGAAATGGGTAAATGCTTAGTAAGTTCCACTCCCGATTTCATTTATTTATGGCAGCAATTATGCTCATTCAGAAGAGCAAACACCAAGTACATAATTAGGTACTATGGTTAGCAATACAATCAACTCTAGAGAGTGGACAGAAGGTCATTCTACATTTCATTGTAGGGGTTTAAGGAATATACTTACCCTAAAACGGACTCTTCTGATTCACCACGTACATAGACTTTTACGCATTTTGGAAAAAATGCTTTCAAGGTTTCTTCCGTAGTGTCTTTAGGTATGTTAGTAACATACAGACACTTAGATGTCTGCTGTTCACGTGTATCACCACCTGTAAACAACAACTCCTCGGGATGTATACACGTGTGAGTCCGAGCGACAATGTCCATCGCTCAGACAGAAACCCTGCACAAGCAGCCACAGGCCACAACATGAAGGCTGATAAACCTTTGGACAGGTGTATCACTTCACTGCATGTATGAAAGGCAGCAAAACAATGTAATATCACATGTCATTGTAAGGACATAGTCCCTAACAAATATAAAAGATACTTTATTCTGATAGTATGTGCAATATGAATACACAAACACTAAAACATTAAATATGCCAGATAAGAATGCTGAATCAGCACTTTTCATCCTGTATCATCATGCATGATCCAATACAATCTAACTTACCAAACCCTCAAGCTAACGTTAAGCAGTGGCCATAGCAAAATTACTGTGGCATTTCAGTTAAGCATTTTGTGTACAAAAGAATGTCCAGACTCCATTAGGTAACACAACAGTTGAGGAGACTAGTTAGCTAGTAGCCTCCAAAAGTTTTTTTTTCAGATGCAAGTGAGGCAATGCATAGTTCATGCATTTCTGGATGAGTAAATCTCACCAACTCTTTGTTGTAATACCATCCACTGCTACTGCTAGTGCTGTAATTTCTGATCACAGAATTACAAGAAACTGCCACTTGGATCACATCCCTTGGAAATCCCAAAGACATGTAAAGGCCAAGGAGAGCAGAGTGACAGGATGTCCACTTATCCCTCCTGTATTTTGTGAGTGCATTGTAGAATTTGTTTGGTGGATACAACAAATGATGATACAGTATACAAGTGCATTCAACATAAAAACCATGTGCATCAACCGTCAGGAGCGGAGTACCTAGTTATTAATTGCTGTCGCAGCTACAAGAACTGGACATAGATATTAGTCTAAAGTTAGACCAGATCTCAGTCACCAACACCAAGAGTTGGTAATTTATTTTCAAAGATGAATCGAAACCTTAGTGGTTTTTTTTAACTGCAAGTGTTACTGAAACTTTTTAAACCTTTTATATCTGTTAAGTGATAAATAATTTCTCTCTGGAAAATTGAATATAAACATTATTGTACATTTCAGTAATATCTTTATACCTTTGAGTTTCCCAGCTTTTTCCAGCTCTGAAATATAAAAATAAAACAATGTCAGAATGCTTCAGAAATTGACAAGTACTTTCAAAATACATGATTAATCACAATTTAAGCATGCCATCAATATCTGGAAACAGTACAGAATTTTAAAGCTCCAATTCAGCTTTTCATAGCATGTAAATATGTGTCAAACTATATACATCATTCACATTCTTTAGTCAAAGCTACACCAGGTTTGGACAACTTATAAATAAATATATGAATAATTCATCAATTAATGAATACAGATGAAAATTTCATAAGATATCAAATCAGTTTTTACCTAGTAGAGCCTTAAGCCCTTCAGTACACTCTATGTTTAATTTTGCATCATCCTTCTGAAGCCTGTTCAGCCCTTTCAAAATGCGTGATGCCATCCACTCTCGGTAAGGAGCAAATGTAAGTTTTGCAGTTCTACAAAAAATAAATGCCAGTAAAATGTTTGCTCTGCTCAATCTTTCAAAGGCCACAGCCAGCAACAGCCATCATAAGTGTTTATAATTATGTTTTGTTTTTATTTTTTTCACAAACTTTGACATTAAGCTGGAACATATGATCTAAAATATATTAGGTGGTTCCATCAGCATTTAACAGTTATGCCTGAATTACTTTGACTACTTGTAATCCCCCCCTTTTTTTGTGGGTTGGGATGGGAATGAAGATGTATAAACTTCCAACACTTTTCTGACAAATACAACCACAAAAGCTAATTAACTACTGATAGACTCACCCAGTCTGATGTTCCATTTGAAGGTTAAGAACTTTGGCTTTAGAAAGCAAGCCAATAAATTCCTCATTCCTCAGCAACTGTGACTTAATAGGCTCTATGGTTATTGTTTCAGTTACAGCTGCAATCAATAACGTCACTAGTTAATCTAATGTAAACATTAAAATACAAGCAGTCCTAACTTTTATCCCTAAAAATACTAACACTTTCATTTTTGAAAACACTTAAAAGTTAATTCAATTTTTTAATTAAAACAAAACACAATTAAATATACTCCTAAAATTGGAAACATATGATGGTTTACAGCAAAATGTCAATGGTGGCAGAAGCAGGACTTTGGAAAGAAAGTCAGGGAGGAGGGACCCAACATGTTTTTATGAAATACTAGAGTAGTTTCCTTCTAGTCCTAACCATGTCAATTATAAATTACAAATAGAGATTAACTATAAAAAAAAAACAGAAAACATACACACTTTATGTGTTGATATATCAGTACATGCCTTTTAAGAACTCAGCTTTGTACAGCTGATCTACAAGTCTATTCTTCCTTGTCTCGTCATCTTCCTTAATTTCTACTGTTTCTTCTTTCTTATTTTCCTTACTCTCCTCCTTATCGTCACCTTCTTCTTCCGTTTTCTCCTCTTTCATTTCAACATCTTCCTCTTCTACAATGGAACAATACACTTCATTCATCAAACAAGGTGTCAACTTGTCATTAAAATACAAATTCAACTTGACCAAAATACTTTCCATAGCCTAGGTATATATTTCTATACAGAGAATATCTTCTGGATATGAACTTATCACAAAAGTGTACCCTGCGTGGCACTAATATCCTTTTAATTTAGTTTCATTTCAAACAAGTGCTTGAAGTAATACTCTGAACATATAAACCAAGTTGTTGACTGCTACTCATATATCATGAGAATTTCAAAAACAATATTCAGATTAATCTATTAACTGAATTTCAGAGGACCAATGTGACATCAATGGTATTACTACTTGTCAATCAGAACAACCTGTTACTGAAACCAATTGTTTGTAACATGATGTGCCATCATGATCGTTGTAAAATGATTCCAATTATAAGAATAAAATACAAAAATAAAACAACAGAAAATAAATAACATGCAAGTAACAAGAAATGAAACACCAATAGTATAACACCTTTCCTATTTTCTGTTGATTCCTGCTCTGTTGTGTCTACTAAAGTGGTGTCTTGGATATCTGTGGAGTCAGGATCCTCAACAAATGAAGGCCATGTACAACTATCCATTGATATTTCTACACCATACAATGATTCATTGACTTCAGTCTCACCCTGATTGTCAGTAGTGGTTGTAAGCTCCTCCATCTCAGCTGTACTTTCAGAACTTTCTGTAGTAGTAGTGGTAGTAGTAGTAGTAGTAGCAGCAGCAGCAGCAGCAGGTGCTTCACCACTGGCACTAGTCTCCTGTTTTCCCTGAGATCTCCTGGTAGCAGTCATTCTCACTGGTTAGAGTAGATTTGTTTACTTCTCAATGTGTCTGTGCAAATAAAATATTAAACAACTTCAAACAAGTCTGGGACCAAAATGAACTCTTCAGTCACTATTAAATCAATGTAAGTGCCTGAAATATCTGCTAACAGAAGTTGATAATTTACTAGCAAAATGTTAAAGCAAATATTGTATGGCATCAGAAGAATAAGGACCAGATCATTGTGGTATGTACGCTGGTAAAATATGGCTTCTGTCACTAATCTGACAGAGCATGCTTCTTTTGCTTATCTGGTGGAATCATACATTATCACACTGGAAACCAATGTTTGACTCCAGTTGGGACGCTAGACAGGAATGTGTTGTTGGCTAAGTTGGTATTTGGCAGAGCTGTGGGTTGTCCTAACAGAGATCCTCATTGGGGGTGCTTGGAAGGAGTATTTTTACAGTTCTTTTTATCCTAAACCCATGATTAGAAGAAGTAAACAAGAAAACATAAGGTCTTGCAATATGGTAACCAGTATGTCAAGAATATTTTGCAGTATGTCTATAAAACAAATCCCAGAAATGAGTACCTGCTAGATAACACTGTCTGATGATGAAATTTTGTTGGTATCAAATTATGCAGTTTATCAAAGTTCTTAACCTTCATCTATCTAGATAATGTGATATAATAATGTTATAACTGATTCTGATAATGAGTGTATTGTATGTATGTATAATCAGTGTGATGAACAACATAGCAGATAAATTTGCATTATAAAGCATATTTACCAACTACTACAATGGTCAGAAGATTGTTACTTGCAATTCAACAGGGAAAAATGTGACCATATCCATTTAAGTATATTTGGACCATACAACTACAAAATGAGGTGTACTAGACTATTCTGACTCTATATACAGCCATTTGCAGAATGTTCAAACACATGGATTTTGCATACAAGCAAATGTTCCCTCATATGAATTGAATGGGAGCTGATGTGCTTCCCAGATTATGGAGAATGCATCATCTACCTGGTTTGTTATGACCAAAAAATAGTACACTGGTGAATTATAAAGTTTGTATTTTAAATAAATAGCACGAACTCAACTTATCATCCGATCAATCTGGGATCACCATTGGTAAAATGGTCTGTTTGTTTGGTTTATTCACTCATGGAGAGTCGGGGTATCCTTGTGGTGTCAATTTGATTATGATGCAGATCATAATCCATCTTCAGAAAGTAATTTTGTTACATGTAGACCAATCTGAATAAAATCCAGCTTTTAGTCCTTGCACCGTTACTCTCTGCAGAGGATGGAGTAACTAGCACTCAAATACAGGACCATTGCTAATATATGGGAGAATGCTAATCGTGTTTACTATCAATGGAAAATTAAAATATGAAATGGTATGTTGACCTAAATGTTTCTCATATAGAAGAGACGGACTTATTAATTATCGATTTATGAGTGTACGGTGTAAATAGTCTGCATGCAGCCATTGTTGTTCGGAATCAGATTGTGTCTACCGTCTTATCCGTTGTACTCAAAGTGAGCTCATTTCTAATTTTAGTTTTCAGATGGTCCATCAACTGCATGGACATAATTGTTTTGTAAACGATGAAATTACATGCTATTCCAATTTATCAATGCAAAACAGTTATAAACATTGCTTTTACCGATTTCCTGATGTATATCTTCGGCACAGGCAAATGGCGTTGGTAATTCTCAACGACCGGAAGTATGCGGTTCTGATGCTAAAACCACGTGGTCAGAAATGATAGGCCACATCTTTATTTTAAATATTTTAATATTTAGACGATGTAAGGTGTTAATTAATACTTCTCATAATAGATAAAAAGTTAAAAAATGAAACAAAAATATTAATTGAATCCTTTTGTTACATAGAATAAATAGTTACTTTCTATCGAGATCAATATTTTTCTAGCTTATCAACTCAAACTATTTATGCATAGGATCAGACCATAACTACCCGGCTACTTTGATAGCATTTAGTATTCAGTGACAATAACTGGAAAACAAACCTCTGTACATTTGGTAAGTATGGAATTCAACTACAAAAAATCAAAATGGTTCTGTGAAAAACGTGACTAACTATTTTAGCATTTAAGAAATGACGTCGAATTAGGTTTTGGTGTCGGCTGACAGACTGCAGGCATGGCCCCTGATGGCTCCTTAACCGCATCAGTACAACCAAGTTATAGCATTGTTTCAAAAGTAAAGAACGCGTCAAAACATTGTTAGATTACGATTTTCTCTATATTTGAAAGAATGTTTTCATCAAATGTCTACGCGGAATATTATTGCAAAAGGTTTGTTGATCAGATCAAAGGGATCATCTATTGAACAACTGAAGTCTGATGCTGGGAGCAACTATATACCCACTGTCAGTTTGCACTAGAACCACAATACCTGTCTCGATGTGTTATTCATTATCGACAGACAATGACAGAGGGGGATAGAGTCATAATACACGTCAATTTACTTTTGTATCCTGCCCCTTCCCCACTTGCAACCTTAGTCTGTCAAAAGGTAAATGCATCATCACAGCTCCGAGCATAGAATTATGTCAATTCTGACACATTATTTTCAGGAGATCTACCATTTTGAGGATACACTATCATAAGCAGATCATGTAATTTAAATTATATAACCATTGGTATCTGCACTGAGAACACATATCTTTGCCTTTATATGTAAAAGTTGAGAGTATAGATTGATTGACTAGCCGTCTAGTGGAAATTTCCCTTTTGTTGAGCGGAAGGGTCTCCAAATAGAGACTAAAAGATGGTTGGTTCCAACCCCCTCAGTGGTGGAGTAATTTTGATTACACATACTGGTCAAAGCAAAAGAAGCATTCTTTTGAAATGATTGAGTCACAATTACATTCATTGATCATTTATTTGATTTCAAAAGTGAAAGAAACAAATCTGATCACTTTTAATATCTATATCAATAATTGTATCCAAAGCATATGATCTTTTCTGAGTTCAATGATATGTGAAGAAATCACAAAGTAGCAAATAAATTATTGTTGTAAGGAATGGCACTTGCAAGGATTATTTGTTTCGTTTTTATTTGGACAGAAAAATGAAACTTACACCATAGAAATGCTTAAATAAAACAAAACATACTTAAAGTATTAAACACTCCCATTCTTAGGTGGTAAACTTTACCTCCAACCTCTAATTAGTTTTTATTTGACCTCTCTTTAATTTATTATGTCACATATTGACCTGCTATACTGAAGTAGATTAACCTGACCAGTGCTTGAATGGGAACAGTGCTTGAACATTTATTTTATATTGGGTTCTTATTCCACAAAGTGACCAACTTCTCCACTCATGGTGCATGATAACTTTAGGATATGGGTACTTTTATACTTCTGATAAGAAAAGCTCTCGAACCAAATGGTGGTAATATGAATTCAATAAGACTGCTGACTCTGCTGTGCATGACAAGTATCAAATGCTGGTTCCTTAGAGGTATGCATGTTTCAATTTTTTCTTATTCTGAACAAAATAAAAACAAAATATCTTAATAAGAATAAAAGCATTGTATTAAAAGTGGATTTGACATATTTTACAGTATAAACCAAAATATAAGTCCACATTTTTCTCCGTAGAAATGCATACTGATCTGTGATCAATGTAAAAAAAATAATTCATTAATCGTGAGTATTCTAACCAAAAAAGTGACCTAGAAATTTTATTGAATTTGTGTAGAAGTTGTTTACGTAAACAACATCTTAACAACATTGTAAATATTTTACATATATTTCAATAGGGTGTTCAAGCATTGGTTCCAACATGGACTTACAGATATTCACCATCACACTGGTGGCATTTAACCAAATGACTGTTTGACTTTAATGTAGCTGGAAATGTTCATGAAATGTCTCTCTTAAGATAGTATTTTAGGACTTGTCGTAAGTTGCCTTCTGATATGATATTTGTTGTTAAAAGTTAGATAGAAGATTGAAATGTTTTTCAAATGTTTATTGTGGTAAGTCCAAATATGGAAAAGAATAAGTAAGAAGTCCATGATGCACTACATTCAACTATTTATTTTTTGTGGTTATTGTAATGTATGCTGAGCAGGATTGTTGCTCCACACAAGAAGACAGTCTACAACATTTTACAAAATTTATTTACATTTTTTTACAATATTTACAAAGACTTTACCCTGCATTTGCTTACAGATTCCTCACACATTCAGTCATTCCACCTCACGCACGTGTAGATATGAAATATGAATATGTATGAATGTACTATAACCCCTAAATGTCACTGTTAGGCCACCATAGCTCTTCACACAATGTCACAGTCAACAGACATTCCAGTATGGTTCCTCGGCTCCATGCTTGTCAGCAAAATAACTGGTCATTTGTTATGTTGTAAGTCACTCAACATGGAAGTGCGACACCCAGGATGTAACGAACTATGACCTTCGCAATTATCACTGTCCCACACTTAGTGTTCATTTAACGTACAACAAAAGAAACAACACTGTAAAACGGAAACTCTACGTCAGCTGTGATGTTTCCAAGAAGTAGTGTAAGTACTGTGACGTCATCACTACACTGTACGCTATAAAACAGCGTCAACAATGGCAAACATCAGCCGCAGAAACATAATATCATAGCCATTTACAGCTGATCACACAGTCTATATCAGACCATCATTCAGCATCCGTGATGTACAGATAAAATAGACAAGTATATGAAAAGTATCAGGGTACTGGATCCATGGCTCCAGGCCTCCATACAAAGCGTAGGTGGTGGTCAACGATATGACGATCAACCGTTACGTAGTTGGCCCAACAAGCTACAACAGTATAATAATTAAAGTTAACTTTACATCTAACTCATAAAGTACTTATTTGACCATTGTTAATTACTGAGAATCACACACTAAATACCAAACAGTTACTCATAAACATACACACGTTTATCACACAATGGACCGCACGAGCATCAGTACTACTGGGTCATACACAACAATACAGGAAACATTAAACAACTCATAAACACCTTAAATATCACTCATATGGACCAAAGTGGCTACAGGGAAACTAATTTTAAAGTTATGAAGATATATATGTGTAATCATTATAGAAATACTTACCATAATCTGTATTTTAGGCATAGCAGTGAGCCACGTCACTAAACCTGTTTAGTGTGTTATTTTCTTGTCTCGCACCTGTCACACTTGTGCACATGCACGCCCGCAAACACAGAGGCACACTAATTTAAATCTTCTAAACATCACAACAAAACATAGATAAAACAACTAAAACAAAAAAAATATTGGTCTATAGAGAAATTGCATGTGACAGTTATATTGTCCATATCATGTAATCCATGATAGGGATTTCTATAAGCTGCTCTAGTGTAGAACCTCCTGTTACCACCCTTAGTAACTGTTGATTACTTGTTCATTCACTGATTTGTGAATGCATTATTACGGAAAGTAGGATGATGACATAATATACATGTGAACATGGATTTCAACAGTTTTAACACATTACGTCTTGATAAGATTGAAATTCTTACAATCCAAATGTTTGTCCCTGGATGTGTATTATGTATTTTGAGACTGATTAAAACATCATTTTGATATGGAATTTACTTATTTGTAAAAGCAGTTAAAACTCATCTCGAAATTGCTTGAGTGGAAATTCAATTGAAGTCAAAATAATTTCCAAGTCCCAATTTTTTTTACTTCTATATCTTTGTGATTTTAATTCGAATGGCTGAGTATAGGTCATAATATGAATGTAGGCATTGATTAACATTTAAGGAGTAGCAGTTACAATATTTGAGCAAGCACTCCTTCATTTTTTGTATTTGAAAGACCTTCATTATTTTACCCGTACACTTATTTTCCTTAGGCTTGAGTAGGATTTACAAAGGAATAGTCTCGTAATCTTTAGAGCAATGAGTCATTTTCAAAAATTCAACAAAAATATAGAAAAAGGTGGCAATGGCCCATCCTTCATAAAATTACCCACTTGGGTAAAAGAAAATGGAAAAATTTAGAGGTCATTTTCAAGAGGCCCCTTGGCCTCCTCCAGGATTATTCTAGAAGACATCCTTTAGGTATATACTTTTAATGTTCCTATTAGGCTTGCAACTTTTATAATATTCATTTTGGGTATAAGTAATATGCTGTATGATGATGCTGTAAACTTTTATGTGCAAATCATCTACAGGTAACTATCTATTTGCTGGTAGTTTGACTGCTGTTTACCTGTATACCTGTGTTATATATAGTCTTATGTCAAATACTAATGTTGTGTGCATGTGTGAGTGTAGGTGTAGTCACACTTAACCTTTAGTCTAGATGGGATAAAGTGTAGTAGCGTGTTGGATAAAGAGTGGCAGAGTCTATACTGGAACAAAGTACACACCACCCATATACTGGTTGTACTTTGGTCAGGCAGTATTTCTGTCATTAAAACACCTTTGCAATTGATCATTGCCAAGGTCAAGGCAAAGTGTGCTGTTGGCTTAGACTTTGTCCAGTAGTGTTGAATGAGAGCAATCTGTGTATATATAGCTACTATACTCTGTACAGGATGTATACAGAAGATTGGCAGTAGGGAAAACTATCAATAGGATTCTTATTGTTATATATAGAGATACAATCTCCAAGTTTACATCTTCAAGGTAAACTCTTCAATCATTTTCAATGCATTACAATCCTTAAATTTTAATAATAGTGTATGCTTTGTAATAATATGCAATCCTAAGTGGTAATAACTATGTAATATATACTGTGTAACTTTTCAATTATGTTTGGTATAAGAGCACCAGGTACATATGAATTAGAATGGGAATATTATTCTACTGTATTTTAATATTTGCAGTGATATATATTGCGAACATCTATTTAATTGAACATTTGTAACAGTATCATCTTGATGGTTGTATCTACAGGATGTCCTTGATCACATCAAAGTAAATATTTTTTATCAGTTTAAAAGATTTTTTAAACGTTTATTTGGTAAACAAAATTGTTCAAATTGTTATCTGC